CAACAACAATCAATTGGTTTGCAAGATTTTACAGTTGTATTCTGGTTGCTAGAAGTATCATCGGAGGTGGAATCGGCAACAATAAACTTCTCGATAGTGTCCATCCTCGATCGAAGAGAAATAATAATAAGTCTACTAAAGTTTCTTTCCAACCATGGAATCGACAATTGTTGGTGGAAAAAAAAGGGAGTTTCTTCCAATGAAATAGCATAATAACCTCATTCATGAAACTGAAAAACTGATTATCCGGATTGATTGTGAGGATTTATTAGGGAGGAGGGGATACAAAAGGTCGATAGTGAAACCGGCACTTGATTAGGGGATTGATTAGAGAGAGGATCATTGATATTGGATTGATTTATCAATCGGTCGTTTAAAAGGAGAGATACCAAGCGTTAAGTTGAGACTGAAAGGGGTCGCATAGCCAGAAGCTTTTTCAGGTCAGTTGGAGAAGAAGTTTACACGTGTGGGATTACACCAAAAAAAAGAGACATGAGAAGGGAGAAACTCCCTTTTTATTACTATACTAGGGGGTGATGCTGCACGATGTGCAGCCTAGGGTGAGTAACAGCCCAGTAAGATATGAGGAAATAAGGAGATTTTCCAAGAGAATTGAGATAATCACAGCTTTGAGGTTTTTACTTCTAACACATAGGATTTTCACAGCTTCGAGAATTCAGATGGTCTAACACATGGAATTGCAAAGATAAAGGTACTTTTATTTTTTGTAATGCCAAACTCAACTAATATTCAGCCCCAGATATCCCTTCCCTTCTATTTATCAACTAATGAGGTCAAATTTCACAAAGCCATGTGCAAATTATTCCAACTGTATCCTATGCAGATAAAAAGAGGAAAAACTCCCTACACTCTGGGTTCAGTACATTAACACTGAAATTGAGATGAAAGATAGATGTCATGTACTGCAATAGGAGCATCCACACTGAAGAATGATCTTTTCCTTTTCAGGCGGGCTTCAAGTTCTTCAGTCTTGATTATTTTCCTAATCGGATTTGGCATATCTTCAATACTGCCAGATCCAAATCCTTTCCAATCTTGCGACCAACCAGAAAAATTTGAGAAAACATTGAAAAAAGGATTGAAGAAATCTAAACAAATTTCTTCTCGACGAATAAATTTGACAAATTATGTCCGATTGACAACCTAATTACAAGTTAACAAAGCAACGAACACTTACAATCACTTCCACTGAACTGAGCTGCCGTCCTTGTGCCCTCTTGCCGCCAATCCACCCGCCATCTCATTGATGCTCTCAGCAATCAACGGCAGTCATGCTTATCCCTTAATCAAGCTGTAACTAATCAATCATCAAGTTTTAACCTTGACTAAGTAGCAAAACAAATCCAATTCCTAACTATTTATTAGACCCGTACTTCACCTTGCATTCTTTGATTAACACTTTTAAGTCATTCTCTCAAATGGAAGACTTCTTTTTGTGCATACAATAATTTTCCAGGTGATTAATAGATTTAGTCTCCTTGTTTAACAAGGCAGCAAAAGATAGAAGAATAACATTTACAAACCAACATCATTAGCCAACTATCGCCTCAAATTTGATAAGAATTATTCTAAGTAACATCCATAAAGGAAAAAGAATGATCCTAGACTAACTCTCCAATCTTACGTTTCTGAAGCAATTAATACTTAACATTACTCCTACCGTTTTCAGCCACCGTGTTTATGCCCACACAAGTCGCAACGCTACTCCAACCACCCCATCGGTTAGCATTCAAAGGGTGTTTAGCATAGATATTTTGTGCAAGAAGCGAAGATTGATGTGCAGAGAAGAAAGAGGGAGAAGAATATTTAAGAAACAGAACGAGACACCTTCATTAACCCTTCGAGGTCTCTACATAATTCATAAGAAAAAGTAAAATGAATACTCTAATTGCACTTACACAGGCAAAAAATCAAACACTTTAAGTGCACATGGAAGACTACATTTAGTGGCAGATGCTCTTCTTCTCAATAACTACAAAAAGAAACAACAAAGTGATGTCCCTCTGCTTATCGTAAACTCCGACGAAAATAACAAGCCGGAAACAGTTGAAAAGTAAAATTTGAAGTACAACAAGCTATACAGCTTATGCAATACAAAACAAAATTGGGTTACCCAAGATCAAATGGGGAGCAAAGGAATCAAAACGCACAAATTAATCTGACCTTGCTGCACATTGTTTATGCCCAAAAGAAGATCTAAACTGCCAGACTCAAAACAAAGAGAATGAAAAACTTCTGATTGGCAAATTCATGAGAGGAATGAGAATAAAGAAACAAAATAAAGAATAAATTTAAATACAAAAACACCCCATTAGTTTTTAAAAATTTTAAAAATAACCCCTAAAATATATAAAAGTAACAAAATAGTCCCCTTTCACTTTTTTATTTCATTTTTTCTCTATTTTGTTCCATTTCTCTTAACTACTTTTAATGACCATAAAAGTATATTATATAATTTTTTAAAAAATATTTATTTATTTTCAAACTCTACCGTAAAAATTAATCTTTGTATAGTTGTAACACATGATTGTATTTCTATAAGCATGTTAATCTTTTTAATAATATAGTTTAGCAATAAAGACACTATTTTTCTGACTTATTTTATTCTTCATAACATAAAGATTAAAAACATTTAAATGAAACTAATATTCCATATAAAATAAAATATTAGCTCAAATAAAAAAATAATATATTAGTATAGTTTAGTGTATTACAATTTAACTAGAGAGACTACGTGGCATAATATAATTTATTAAAAAATAACTAAAATATAAAATAACTTTTACATGGCATATTACTATCTTCACATCGTTTTGAAGAAATACCATCACTATCAGGACGGTCTGGCGCTGGTGAAGGCATCATGATAGTGAAAATAAATAATATTATTTTATTTTAAAAAACTACATATATAATTTTTTAAAATTTCTACTCAAATCACATCTTAAATCACATTCTAAATCAAAAACAAAATTTTGTCCATTTTTACTCTTTACCATTTTGATTCTTGTTTGGTATGATAAAACAACATGTTGTAGCTGAATAAATTAAGTGTTTTCGACATTATAATTAGATACAATACATTTGACATATTGGTATAAATAGGAGAAAAAAAAAAGGAATACGAAGGAGATAATTAATGTGCGTTCTACCTTTTTTTTTCCTTGAAAAATTTGCTTTCTACCTGAACAATTCAGGGGTCTTTTCCCTAAAAAAATTAATTAAAATAAAGGTGGACAAATTTAAATTTTTCAGAAATCCGAGTTATAATTAAAATTAAACATTCGGATTTCGGCCGCCGACGATCCTAGCCGCCACCTCACACACACACACACTCTCCTCACACATACAGTTTTCTTCTTTAATTAACAGCAATATTATGTGATAGTTGTCCATGCTATAATTACTGGTTATCCACCCATTTTATACTGGTTATCCAGAAAGTGTAAACTGATTATCCACAAGTTGTAGACTGGTTATCCAAAAGGTACAAACTGGTTATCCACAAATTGTAAACTAGTTATCCAAATTTTGTTTATGGTTATCCACCTATTTTATACTAGTTATCCACAGGTTGTAAACTGGTTATCCATACTTTTTTTTAGATGTGCTTCTATGTAGCTACCTGTTCATACAATTTGCTGATTATCCACCCATTTCCGATACCCCTGCAAATTCCGACGGTGCACCCCCGACCGCGTTCAATTAAACCCCAAGAATTCCGGCCAATCAATCCTAACCGCCTCCTCACACACACACACTCCTCACACACACACGAAAAAGGACTCACCTTATAAAAACCCGCGTGTTCGGGGAGGGGGGGGGAGGGGGGCGACGAAGCCGGGGCGGATTGGTGACCTGCGATTCCGGCGGCCGCGAGAGTCGATTCTGGTAGCGGCGGTGCTGAACGAGAAGGCCGAAGAAGAAGAGGCGGTGGATTCTGATTCTGATTTGGGGTGTCGGATTTGTTGACGAAGAAGAAGAGCCGTTGAATTTTGTTGATTCCGATTTGAGGTACACGGTATCCCCATATGCACTGGATACAGACTCAACTGGAGCTATTAGTTCATTCTATAAGCAAAGTGCTTCAAAGCAATCCACCACTTATTTTCAAACATATTGGAGGGGGAAAGAGAATTATTTTCCCAGTTTTGATTACATTTTGCAGCTAACCGCCACATTCCAATTTGAGCAGCTAGTGTGTGATAACTATGTAATTTAAATGGTCGCACATTTCATACAGAGCAACAACACAACTTCCTCCTCATGTAAATGTTTAGGGTACATAAATTAGAGAAAGACTGAAGTTACTGTTTCAGCGAGTGAATAAAAAAATCGAAACCAATTGAATTGAAGATTACAGTTAAATCTTTAAAGTTTAGACACGCGTTAAGCTTGCAAAATGAGGAAAACGATAGCAAAAATGGCTAAAAGTTCACAATGCAATATGAGCCACGGTCTGTAATACAATAATTAAGGAAAATGAACACAGCTAAGTTATAGTATAATTTTGAGTAGATTTATGAGAGATTCACATATTGAATTTCACTTGGGGCATTGACTAATACAATTGAAATTTCAAACAAACAGAAGTGCCGCATATATTTGTCATACAAAGCTTAACCCATATAATCCAAAATGATTATTCGAATAAAGAATGAACATATTAAAATAAAAAATGCCAAATATGAGACAGAAGCCAAGTACGAGGACTAAACTAAAGATTTACCGTACTAGACGTGATATCCTAGATTTTACATACTTTGAGGTTCAATCTATAATTATTCGAAACTTTCGAGGAAACCCAGGTATTTAATTAATTAACGAAAATTTAGAAGTACTTTCAATATTACCTCTTCTTCTCCTCTCCCTCCTTCCTCGCCAGTAAAACCAAGCCGCCGCCGGAGCTACCCAAATCAGCCGCCGATTTCAGTTCCTAACGACACCCTTCCTCCTTCTATTAATTCCTCTTTGAACCCTATAATTTTCTCTCATAATTTTTTCCAGAACAAGACTTCTCTTTTACTGCAATTTTTCACCTTTCCGTCGCCTTGTTTTTAGTGCCGTCTTCGCCGTAAGGTTGATTTATGTTACCGTTTTCAATGGCCTGCTGATTTTTCTCTAAGAAGTGAAAAAGGACAACCATAAGGGGACTGAACTCTGGGCTTTTTTGCTTACTTGGGACTGTCAACAAGAAGGTAAAAATCAATATTTTTTTTTAATTCCCAATTCAAATTATGTTCATACCCAAGCATCATTGCAATCTCTAACCCATTCTGACTACCATTCCAGAAGGTGAAGCGCAAGAGCTCTCAAAGTAGTACTATGGATTTAAAGGGCAGGGACCACGACCTTATAATATATTCAGCACTCACCACCTTGTGGGGAAAAGCCTCTCCTCGCCCAAAAGTTAAAAAATTTTGTCATCAGGGCTATGTCACGGAACAACATTTGACGAATTTCTTGTGTTTTTGCACTCGTCTCGGTAAGTTCCCTTTTTTTTTTTTAATTCATTGTTTCCATTTGCTCTTATATTTCGGGAGTGGTTGTAAAATTTTGAGGAGTTAGATTGTTAATTTTTTTTAGATTTTCTTGGTAGATTCTCAGTATTCCGATTTGATATACACTTAGTAAATTTCCTGTCCGGGACTGAGTATACTTTATTGGATAAGTTGGGATTTTTGGAGGAAAGATATGATTTTTAGTGGAAAAAAAGATTGAGATAAAGAGAGAGAACAGGGTGACTAGAAAAAATGGTTAAGTATCAGTACCGATTACACTACTCCAAATTTAACTTTTGGCAGGGTTGTGAATATCTGAAAGTAGAATATTTAACAACCTACTAGTTGATGAACAAATCCCTTTGAGAACAAGATATTGCTGGAAAACAGGAAATAAGAAACATTTTTAAGGCTGTGAGCCGCTACGGAGTCCATTCTTTGACTTGTTTCCTTCAAAATGGTGACTGTTTTGACCTCTTCTAGTTTCCGATTTCACAACCCTCATTTAAAAACTGAACAAGTCTTCTGAAAACTCCCGTGCATGGCATTTCCTATTTGTTTAGGTGAGAAATCACTCGTTGGTAATGTATGCGCACCATATCAAGATAAGATTGTGGAGGAAAGTGTGTCATGGATATGTGAGGGCTTAATCTAAAATGTAAGAAAAAGGTTTAAAAGTTGTTCTCGGGAGCAGACTTGTAGCCTATATCAAATGTGTTCCAGAGATTGCCCCGATGAATAAGATATCTCCATTCTGTGGAAATTCTGTGTTTTTTATACTTCTTTGATTATTTACTTTGAAATAATCAGCTGTCTTCATCCCTTCCCTTCTTCTTCCCAACCACCCCCGGCCGCCAACAATGACACACAGTCACGCATTTATACACACACACACGCACACATATATATAGATAGCGGCAATCAGAGATTGTTTCCATTTGGAGTGTTATTATCATCATTGTCTGGTGGTTGACATTATCATCTGTTGTTGTGGAAGACCCAGCGGTACTACCGGATGACTTGGTGTTTGAAATCTTGAGGCGGATGACAAGTAGGTGTCTGTTGGAATGCAAGCTAGTGTGCAAGTCTTGGCAAGTAATGATTGAAAGCCCTCAATTTATGGAGTCTCGGAGTTTGCCGGGCCTGATTGTTTACTATGAAGAACCAGACCCGGCTTACCCTGAACCTTGGTTCTCGAAGCGGGAACTGAATCTATTTCACTGCAGTCTTAGGGCTGAAGGAGGTCCAGCACAAGAATTTGAAATTCTCGGCAAAGTGGCCCCGTCTGTGTGGTTCAAGAGAAGTCATCGGATGACACAAATAATAGATGGCCTTGTTTGTGTTTACGCCCTTAAAGTTTTGAAAATTTGGAACGTTCATACTGGGGAGAGTATGAGTCTTCCGGAACCCTCTCTGCCCTTCGATAGTGATAATCAACGGTGTCTTTTCCGGAGAAGGTTTTATTTAGGATATGACCCTTCAGCTGGAGTGTATAAATTGCTAAAATTGGCCATTCCTCGTTACAGCTGTCCACACGGTGTTTCAGCTGAGATTCTGACCCTTGGAAACTCATCATCTTCTTGGAGAGAATTGCAGCGTGGTGATGTTGCTGGTACTGATTGGCCTCCTGCAATGGTTAACCTTGAACCTTATTTTAAAGCTACGAATAGTAATTCATCTGATGGGTTCATCTATTGGGTTGGGGTTACAGATCATGGGTCGCCAAGGTTGTTGTCTTTCGATCTTAGACAGGAAAACTTATCGTTGGATTACTCTTCCGGATGATCTGATGATCAGAGACGATGAGACGTCAAAGTTAAAGTTTCGGGATTTGAAAATCACGCAATCCATGGGATGCCTAGTTCTGTGGTTTCCTCCTGGTACGGCCGAAGATGATTGTTTTGTATTGTTCATATCGGAGGATAAGGGTATCAGCTGGTCTAAGCATGCAGTTCGCTTACCCCGAGGACTTAGAGATGAACCTTTTCAGAAGTTTGTCAAAGTAGTTGGGAATCTCCCAACTGGTGAGCTTCTGTTGCTTAACCCCAAGGCGGAAACTTCTGCTGTTCCAGTTTATTCATATGATCATATTGGAAAGAAGTTTGGTAAGTTTGTTGTTGGAAAGATGCCCCAACCGCTTAGGCCCATCTTAGGCGAGTTTCGCGGCCGTACAGTAAAGATACCTGTTATGATCTCTTGTGGACTTGAAAATTTAAAACCGTTGGATGTTGCATTGAGCCGTGGCGGTTGAGCTATTTGGATATCAGAGGGTGTATGATAGTAATTATTGTTATTTATTTATGTAATAAGTTTTAAGATCAAGGAAGTATTGCAAAGTTATAGATGACAAGTTGGATTTCATTGTTGTACTACTATTTTTTAATTTTGTAATTCATAATTATGTCCGAGAGGGGATGAACTTTCGAAGCTATTATATAATCTTTTTCTCAATTCTTACTAGGTTGTCATATGGATTGTGATGTGTTTGTGTATGAATCGATTTAGTAAGCATTTTGAGATTATTATTATTATTATTATTATTAATGTATTTATTATTATAAAAAGGGTGTATTTCTAAACTCTAAAGTCATCCAGAAATACATACACATCAGGAGAATGCAGCTGAATTATACAAACCAAAGTGGGGAAGTACAACCAGCTCTAGATTTGGTGAAGCAAAAGGGTAGACTTAAAACTCAACAAAAGAATATGTTCAAAACTCAAAGCCAGAATAATCGTGCATATGCCGGATAAGAATTATTACCTGCGGAAAACGATAATTCATTTTATTAGTAAAAATAGAGGTAATAAATCTATTAGCCTAATGTTCAATCATTTTGATTATGTTAGGTACGATAAACAACAAGCTTCTCGCATTATAATCATGTTACTTTTTAGTTTTGACAGCTATTATGACATGAATGCTCTTATGACATATACCGTTGGAGTAGATACTTCCAAGAATTACATCATTAATTTAGATGAAATACATATGGGATTTTGGATATCCCATCACCTGTATTATATTATATTATATATATATATATATATATATATATATCATAAAAGAGACTTGACATATATTGATTCAAGTTTCTTTTTTCTTTTCTTTTTTTCCTTTTCTTTCTCTCTTACATTTTCTAGCCCCTATGGCACAATAAACTAAGAAAGTAGAGTAGACGCTTTATAAAAAATAAAATAAAAACCAGATAGTTATAAAATTAACTTACTCATTTCTTTACTCAAAAAAAGCACTTTTTGTCCCATCATTTTATAACAACAACAACAATATACTCAGTATATTCCTAACTCGATTGGGATCTGGGGGTCAAGATATACGCAGGCTTACCTCTGTATTGAGAGACTGTTTAAATAGTACGACCCAAGATGTATTGGTGCATTGATATATTGATTTCCGGCAACTTCACCAAATTAAGAAGATGTCGAAGTTGATAAGAAAAACATTTACAAACCAACATCATTAGCCAACTATCGCCTCAAATTTGATAAGAATTATTCTGAGTAACATCCATAAAGGAAAAAGAATGATCCTAGACTAACTCTCCAATCTTACGTTTCTGAAGCAATTAATACTTAACATTACTCCTACCGTTTTCAGCCACCGTGTTTATGCCCACACAAGTCGCAACGCTACTCCAACCACCCCATCGGTTAGCATTCAAAGGGTTTTTAGCATAGATATTTTGTGCAAGAAGCGAAGATTGATGTGCAGAGAAGAAAGAGGGAGAAGAATATTTAAGAAACAGAACGAGACACCTTCATTAACCCTTCGAGGTCTCTACATAATTCATAAGAAAAAGTAAAATGAATACTCTAATTGCACTTACACAGGCAAAAATTCAAACACTTTAAGTGCACATGGAAGACTACATTTAGTGGCAGATGCTCTTCTTCTCAATAACTACAAAAAGAAACAACAAAGTGATATCCCTCTGCTTATCCTAAACTCCGACGAAAATAACAAGCCGAAAACAGTTGAAAAGTAAAATTTGAAGTACAACAAGCTATACAGCTTATGCAATACAAAACAAAATTGGGAGTTACCCAAAATCAAATGGGGAGCAAAGGAATCAAAACGCACAAATTAATCTGACCTTGCTGCACATTGTTTATGCCCAAAAGAAGATCTAAACTGCCAGACTCAAAACAAAGAGAATGAAAAACTTCTGATTGGCAAATTCATGAGAGGAATGAGAATAAAGAAACAAAATAAAGAATAAATTTAAATACAAAAATACCCCATTAGTTTTTAAAAATTTTAAAAATAACCCCTAAAATATATAAAAGTAACAAAATAGTCCCCTTTCACTTTTTTATTTCTTTTTTCTCTATTTTGTTCCATTTCTCTCAACTACTTTTAATGACCATAAAAGTATATTATATGATTTTTAAAAAAATATTTATTTATTTTCAAACTCTACCGTAAAAATTAATCTTTGTATAGTTGTAACACATGATTGTATTTATATAAGCATGTTAATCTTTTTAATAATATAGTTAGCAATAAAGACACTATTTTTCTGATTTATTTTATTCTTCGTAACATAAAGATTAAAAACATTTAAATGAAACTAATATTCCATATAAAATAAAATACGCTTAATTATCCAAAAAATCCTATAACTTGGGGTGTTATATTCGTTTGGTCCTAATTGACCAATATCGTATTTGTTAGGTCCCATAACTTGTAAAATTGCTCTTTTTTAAGTTTCCATCCGTTGACCGTTTAGAAGTTTACGGTCAACAATTCAAACATTGTTTTTCATAAGGGTATTTTGTCCATCTATTAAATTTATTATTATTTCTTCGTTCTTTCAATTTTTAACATTTGGGCCAACTCCCCTGTACCATCTTCCTCGTTTCCTCATCTTTCTACCCCTCCACCACCACCACCTCCACATTTCACCACATTTTCATTTCTTCCCCATTGAAATACAAGCAAATCACCATTTTAATCACCTACTCATCTTCCTCTTTATGACCACAGGAATCCTTAAATCAATATGGCTCCAACACCCACATTTAGTTCATAGTACTGGTCAACACCACCACCACCACCACCACCATCACCATCACCGCCGCCGCCTCCACCACCCATGGACTATAAGGGCTATCATCTTCAACTCACCACCACAATCATCTTCTTCCTGAAACCCATCATAATTGCATTTCAAACCGAGCCACATCATCCCCCCTCCCCCCCAATTCAATCCCTTGACAGTTGACACCGTAGCCCCATACCGTAAATCACCATAGATTCCCAAAGCCACATTTTTTTTTAATTTCATAGTTAAATCTTAAATAATTCATTGATCTAAACTTCGCAAATTTGGGTTACTCAGTTCCAGATATATGTACTTTTAGAGCCAGTGTCATGTTTCAAATGGAGGTTGTGGGAGAAGTGTAAGCCCGTAATTTTTCAATCGATTTTGTTGCTCCAATGAAAAAGATGATTCCTGCGTTTCTCTTTCTTAGGCTGAAATCGGAGGATTGTGTGAGTTTTAGAATTGGAAGGAGATGGTTGGAGCTGGAGAAACATGTTTGTAATTTTTTAATTTTTGGAATATTTACAATTTTTATAGTTAAAATAATGAGAGTATTAAACAGTGATAATAATTCAAATTAAATCTTAGAAACAGTTTATTCAGGAAGAAATAAATGAAAATAGAAGTGTATAAAGATGAAAATTTTGAAGTAATTTTTAAAAAAGGAATTGAACTAAATAAAGTGAGTAAAATGAAATTAAATTTTTAAAAGGAATTGAATTACAATAAAGGGAGAAAAATAAATAAATGTTCTAAGAACCAAAACAAAATTTCAGGACAAAAATAACCTTATGACTTGAGTTTGACCGTTTGTTTGTTAATGGTCAACTGACGGAAAAGTAAAAAGGAAGTTATAAGACTTGACAAATACAATTTTGATCAACTAGGACCAAATGAATATAGCACCCCAAGTTATGGGATTTTTTGGATAATTAAACGAATAAAATATTAGCTCAAATAAAAAAATAATATATTAGTATAGTTTAGTGTATTACAATTTAACTAAAGAGACTACATGGCATAATATAATTTATAAAAAAATAACTAAAATATAAAATAATTCTTACATGGCATACTATTATTTCACATCATTTTGAAGAAATACCATCACTATCAGGACGATCTGGCACTGGTGAAGGCGTCCTGATAGTGAAAATAAATAATATTATTTTATTTTAAAAAAAACTACATATATAATTTTTCAAAATTTCTACTCAAATCACATCTTAAATCACATTCTAAATCCAAAACAAAATTTTGTCCATTTTTACTCTTTACCATTTTGATTCTTGTTTGGTACGATAAAACAACATGTTGTAGCTGAATAAATTAGGTATTTTCGACATTATAATTAGATACAATACATTTGACATATTGGTATAAATAGGAGAAAAAAAAAAGGAATACGAAGGAGATAATTAATGTGCGTTCTACCTTTTTTTTTCTTGAAAAATTTGCCTTCTACCTGAACAATTCAGGTGTCTTTTCCCTAAAAAAAATTAATTAAAATAAAGGTGGATAAATTTAAATTTTTTAGAATATTTGTACGAATTTCTGAAATCCGGGTTATAATTAAAATTGAACATTCGGATTTCAGAAATTCGAATCTACATTTAATAAGAAAATAATAATTAAATAAATTTTGTTGAATAATAGTTTTTAAAAAATCTTACATGAACAGTGCCGTTCGGATTTGCGTAATCTGAGTCCCATTAAAAAATAATAAATTGAGGCACAAAATATTTGAACTCAAATAAGGAGGAGTCCAGGACCTGGACTCCTTAAATAAACAGTAGTACTCGGATTTCCGAAATCCGAGTTCTCGAAAAGAAAAATAAAAATAAAATAAAATCAAGGCCCAAAATTTTTGAAATCAAAGAGCTGGAATACCGTAATCCGGTTACATGTATTAGTGTTATGTACTATTTGTACATACTAGTATTATGTAGTACATTAATATTATTACTCATTGTACATTATTGGTATTATTGTTATATATTACTGTTAAATCTGTTAGTCATTGTATATTATCATCAATTCAGTATAATTTATTTGTACTAGTGTAATGTACTATTTGTACGTACTAGTATTATGTAGTACATTAATACTAATACCCATTATACATTATTGGTACTATTATTATTTCTACTGTTAAATCTGTTAGTCATTGTATATTATCACAAAAATAATATAATTTATATGTACTAGTGTTATGTGTTATTTGTACGTACTAGTATTATGTAGTACATTAATATTAATACCCATTATACATTATTGATACTAGTGTTACTTATTACTATTAAATCTATTAGTTATTAGATATTATCATAAATTCAGTATAATTCATCTGTATTAGTGTTATGTACTATTTGTACGTACTAGTATTATATAGTACATTAATACTATTATCCATTTACATTACTAGTACTAGTGTTACTTATTATTGTTAAATCTATTAGTTGTTAGATATTATCATAAATTCAGTATAATTTATCTGTACTAATGTTATGTACTATCTGTACATACTAGTATTATGTAGTACATTAATACTATTACCCATTATACATTGCTGGTACTAGTGTTACTTATTATTGTTACATCTATTAGTTATTAGATATTATCATTAATTTAGTATAATTTATCTGTATTAGTGTTATATAATATTTGTACGTACTAATATTATGTAGTACATTAATACTAATACTCATTATACATCAGTGGTATTAATGTTATTTATTATTGTTAAATATGTTAGTTATTAAATATTATCATTAATTCAGTATAATCTATCTGTACTACTGTTATGTACCTTTTAAGCAAATAATCGTATTTTCAGAATATGAGTCTAGCAAAAAATTAGATTTTCAAAATAAGGCCATAGGGTTTAGGGTTTAACTTCGGATTTTTCAAATCCGAATGTTACTTATACTTGGATTACCAAACTCCGAGGGTAACCTATATACGGATTACCAAAATCCGACTGCAACATATACTCGGATCACCAAAATCTGAGTGTAACATATACTCGGATTTAGGGTTTAGGGTTTAGGTTCGGATTTCTAGAATTCGAGTTTATCAGGGAAACATGGAAGATTCGGATTTCAAAAATCCGATTCGTATCTAAAAAATTACCAACACTTGTACAAAAAAAAAATTCTCCAAAAATTAATATTTTAATCATAAAGTCGGATTTCAGAAATCTGAATTCCGATTAATTATGTCAGATTAAAAATTTACTTAGTTTTAGTTTTAATTAAAATGAATTCGGATTTTCAAAATCTGTTTTCTATTGAATTCGGATTACCGAAATCCGAATTTACCCCGGATTTGGATTTTAGAAATCCGGAGGATATAGGTTTGTCCACACAAATTTCAAAAAAATTAATTTAATCTACCTTTTTTTTAAGAAAATTTTTTAGGTCAAAAACTCAACAATTTAGTGCTAGTACCTTTAAACGCCTTCTTCTTAAAAAAAACCTTTAAACGTCTTAATTAAAAAAGAAAAAAGAAAAAGAAAAAAGAAAAACCTGAAAGAAATTAAAAGAAAAAACGGGAATGCATATGTTGTACGTTGCGTATAAACTATAAATAACCCCTCGCCCTCTCCCTTTGTTTACCTCCAGTTCCCATTCAAACCGAACGTAATTGCAGTCGCGCCCAATTCGAAAAGCTTTAGCTCGAGCAATCTTCAAGATTTATCTCTAGCAATCTAAGGTAAAATATCTTTCTTTTTCTTCTCAATTCCTGTTATGATTCTATTTTGTCCCTGTAGTTTTCTGTTCTGTCCTTTAAATCGATTTCCAAGTATCGGAGTGTCGAAGGTAGCCCTAATTGTGAATGACTAGAGCTTTTGTTAATGTTAAGAATTAGGGCTTGTTTCTTTTAGATTAAGGTAGAAATGGATTGGCCTATAGGTTTCGGGACATCATCTTTGCTCATAAAATTATAGTGTTTCCGAGTGAATTTAGGGAAGGGAGGAGTTTAGACTTCTGAGATTCCATAGTAGAGAGGGATCAAGATGGAAGGGGGGAAAAGGCAGAAACCGAGTAGCTCAGTGAAATTTGGGGCTCTTGTTGAAATCAAGAACTAGGATTACTTTTTTCTTGATGTTTCTATTACATTTCACATCGAGAGAACAGAGGCTTATAGCTTTTGTTTTGGATAATTAACTCTGTACAACTCCTTGTGTATTTGTTTATTTTTATATCTGGCTGAGTCTGATTTGTTTTTTATTTTGCTTTATTTTGATTCTTGAGTATGAATTTATGTTTGTTCTGCTCTGCTATTTGGCCCTCTTTTGTTATCTTTTGACGATATAATTCGGCTTCTTGAGTATGAATGTATATGAGAAGGATTTTTCTGTTTAATTGTGGGACAAGAATTCTTATCTCCATAACAGACTGGTATTTTCCAGTGAATTAGTAGGGAGGGGTTCAGAGATGAGGTAGACGAGAGGCATGAAGGGGGAAGGGGAAAAAACAGAGGGAGATCACAGTAGTAAGTTTAGTTGCCTGTGTCCACTGCCATGATCCATTACTTATAATTGTCTGCCCAAACCTGGTTAAATTTAATTTTTATTTTATTTTATTTTTTCCTCTTAAGATTAGTAAGTACATAAACTGGAACATTGCTCTATAATTAAATTTTTCCTGTTGATAGATCTAAAAAGGAAACATGGCTAGTGACAGTACCAGTCTCCAAGATTCCAGCCAAAATGACAGCATTGTTCAGAGGTTCTTAAAGATTTGCACAGTTGTCAGGGAGCCCTGGGTAAAGAAGTGGCTGGTGAATTCACTTGGGACATTTGAATTTGTGACTGATGTGATGATTAAAATTGCTTCAGAGGATAAAGAGTGGTCTGAATTTGCTATAATGGTAGATAATCTGAGTAGGGAGGACCTGGCTTTCAAGCAAAAACAAGCCACTGTCGAGGCTCTAGCCCGTCTATTTGGAGTCATACCTGTTGGTGTGTTGAATAATAAAGATATTGACCTGCTATTTACAGCACTTGGCAACTGGTTTGATGCCGATGATGACCGTTCCAAGGTCGTTGCCCTCGAAGCTCTCAGTAGTGGGTTCAACTACTACTTTCCCCAGGTTCCTCTTGACCGTACAGTGATGATTCAGAAGTTCTTTAAGATTTGCTCCTGTGTCAGGGAGCCTTGGTTTAAAAGGTGGCTGGTGAATGCCCTTGGGAAATATGGATTTGTTACTGACGTGATGATTGAATTGGCTTCAGATGAAAAAGAGTGGGCTGAATTTGCTCTTATGGTAGAGAATTTGAGGAGGGAGGATATCTCTCTAAAACAAAAACAATCCACGATGGAGGCTCTTGCATGTCTACTTGGAGTCCTGGTGATTGGTGACATGGATAATGAAGATATGAACATGATACTTGCTGAAGTTATCTGCTGGATTGAGAAAGATGATGACATATTGAAGACTGCTGCCCTTGATGCTCTCAGCAACGGGGTAGATATCTTGGCCTCTGCCCAGGTTGCTGTGCTTGACCATGCTGTAATGTTGGCATTGAAGGCCACCGCTGAGAACGAGACAACTGGGGTCCGATGTTCCGGGTTCAAATGCCTGCAATCCCTAACTGAGGAGTGTTATTCAGTGGTTGAGCCGCACAAAGTTGCTGTAATAGAGCAAATTAGTAGTTCACTGAAATCTAAGGACAAGGAGGTTGTTTTGGGTGTGATAGACCTATGGAACACAATTAGTCTGGAAACTGGTGTGACAGAGTTAGGGATGTCATTGCTCCCATTGTTGCTAGAGGTTTTGAGCGGGTTTGTGAGGGAACGTGCCATCACTCTTCGGGTGCATAGGTGTTTGCTGAGGTTTGCGAATCTGTCCTACCTGACATTCACCACCAGTGTGAGAGATTATGTGACTCAAGCTAATGAGAAGCAGAAGGTTGCATCAGTTTGGGAAGCCATGGGAGAATTGATGGTTGAGCTACCTGAGTTGGCTCGTTGTTGCAACATGATAGAAGAGGGTTAGGGCCGGTTGCTGCCCTCTTTGCTGGTTTAAGAAGATGGTGAAGACGAAGAGGAGTACATAGGTCGGAAGGAGAGAGTAGATCAAATGACATCAAATGACATAGCATGAATGTTAAAAACTACTGCTCTGTGAAGTTTATACGTATGTAGTTTAGTTTGTTGTGTTTAACAAGATTACTGCTCTGTGAAGTTTATAGGTATGTAGTTTGTTGTGGTTAACAAATTTGGATAATAGTTTGGTGGTGTGATTTAGAGTTGTTTTGTGATGATCCTGTCACACAATTCAAATCCCCCTCAAACACATTTACTTTTATGAGGGATGATTTAACTATAAATCTTATCTTTATCACTTCCCAAACCATTCGTCATTTTAGTGTAATCCCCTTCAAACACTTTGCTTCTCTTTTCTTTTATTTTTTCAAAAAAAAATATATTTACGGCTCTGTTCTCTAGTTTAAAATATATTCACAATTCAAAAAATTTGGAACAAATTTGGCACGTTAACATTTTCTTGGTGTAATTTTTGGCTTTTTTATGTGTTCAAATTCAAAGGTTTCAATAATTAACTAATTAGCCATTTTTTCCCCTCCAGTTAATTTTTCGCTACTTTAGGAATAAATAATCTTTTCATACGTAATGCATACCTAGAGAAATACTATTATATGGACCTATGGTTATTTGTCACATGTTTTTGTTCATTTCAAATACAGTAACATTCATTATCAAAGTTGGCAACAATTTTTATAAGAACAACACGTTCGAATGAACTCTCAGAAATTCAGTCATCATCTAAGGCTAAGGAAAGTAACAACAAATTACAGAAAGACCTTAATTAGTCAACCCCGAAACATCTGCGTTAAAAATTCTTGTGTGCTGTACAAAATAATGCATGCCAGAATTCCGGACAATTCCTTCCCTTTCTGCGTGTGTGCTTCCTTAATCTGTTCTCCTGGTATCTCACTTCACATAAGGAGGATCAATGGAAGCCCATTCGAAGACTTGCTCGTATTGAACTGCTGCGTTGTTCCAAGAGTAGTCCCTTTCCATTCCCCTTTTCATTAATCCCTCCCAAGATGACTTGTATTCTCTGTACGTTCCGGTAGCTACTTTTAGTGCCTGCAAAATATAGGGAAAAAAATATGCATGTGGGATCGGCAATTGCACTGCTGAACCGGCTCAAAAGAACTTCAATGTAAAGGGAGGCTTACAGCTAGCAGATTTTCTTTTGATAGAGGAGAGAACGCCCAACTGTTATACAGCAAGTAAAAAGGGCATTACAATAGATTAGGGGAATTAATGATAAGCATCCATATTCTTGCAGAATCCAAAACATAAGAGCTTCTAGAATCTTTGATAAGAATAATGTCACAGCTATGGAAGTTTCTAAGAACAAGTTACGTACCCAGTTCCCTCGCCCCTGCCTTCTCGAGCATACGGATTGAAATTTTCAACTGTGTCCTGGACAAGAAGGAAAGATTATTATTAGAATTATATATATCGCCAAAGCTACTTTTATGTAAAGAAACTTTAGTGATGAATTCTCAGCGCACCCTAAGACCTCCGGTTTTGTGAACGACAGGGACAGTCCCATATCTCATTGCATACAACTGGTTCAACCCACATGGTTCAAATCTTGAAGGCATCACTAGTATGTCACATCTGTGAAATGAACAACACTGAGAAAATGAACTTTACAATCAAATTTCTAAAAAAAATTCAACTTTTAACATTAATATCAATTACCCTGCAGTTATTCTATGTGAGATAGGAACATTGAATCCAACCCAACCCCTATACTTCTCCTTATATTGCGACTCTAATTGCCGCATCCAATCTTCATATTGCCTCTCCCCAGATCCAAGCATCACCTAAAATACCAGCAGATGACTTTTAGTTTCTTACTATCGGAAATAGGGATAATTGAGAGGAAATGATAAACTTGCAACTTGTCTATCCAACACTCTTCATTCATGACACGAAATCTGAGAGTAAATTGTAAGCCCTAAAAAATGTGTCTGGGATTCTTTTTTTATCCATAGTGTCTCATATTTAGGAAGCCATTTCATTCTCCCTTGACTTGAGTTATCCACGCCAATGAGTACTCGTACGAAACCACAGTTTGAACCAACAACCAGAAGTACTCCCTCTGTCATAAAATTATTGTCCAGTTTAGATTTTCATTTTCAGTACAAATAGTAATGAAAATCCAAACTGGACAATCATTTTGGGATGGGGGAGTATCAATTAAAAAGCACCAAGCATCTTAGAAGGGTTCAAAGACAGATCATATGTACAATACCTAGCTTAATTAACTTGATGACTTGGGGTCACGGAAGAGGGTTGGAATAACACTTACATCTCCATTCCTCCCCAGTTCTTGAAAGGTTGGAGGGGAAAAACAATAAAACAGCAGAATCGACAGGAAACTTCAAACAAATAGCCTCAAAATAAGACCCAAAAAGAAACAGGTATCCAGCATGTTCTTCAGGCACAGAATGCTGCCTTCAGAAATAACATCAATAGGTGACACCCTAACCTTATTCCTCATAAAGCTATACACGAAAACAAGAAGATATTAAACACACACATATGCACACAAGTAGGGCAGCAAGCTTACAAATTGGACATCTTCTTGCATAAGTTCTGGAGTAGCAGACAGTAGAATGTCAATACCTTTCTGGTAGTCCAATCTCCCAACAAACCCAATCTGTATCAGATTTAGACTCAAGTAAGTAAAGAACAGCAGAAATCCAAAGGGTTGAGGTATAAACAACTTCTCACCAAGGGGCAATCAGCTCGAACAGGAAGACCTAATTCCTCCTGCAATGCAATCTTGCACTTAACCTGGAAAATTATAATTGGAAGGAGAAGATTAATAGGACAAAAACATAAAGAAACATGGAGAAGCAACTTCACAGCATTAATGAAAAGCCATTTTAGTTGTTCAGCTTTCCATCTTTGACATCATCGCAGCTGGAAAGGAAACATCAAGTACAAAAATACTGGTTGAAGCAGATATAGATATCTATGATATAGAATTCAACATCTTGACATCAAATAGTAATGAGTTTATGAAGCTTTAGTACCTTCCCCGAAAGGTCATCAAGGGAGTAATGAGAAGGAATATGCACGTCAGAAGAAGGATCCCACTCGCACATGTCAATACCATTTGTAATCCCTACACGGCAAAGCCACAAAATTTTCCTGAGCACTTACAAGCTTCAGTCAAGCAACTTACAGCATAAAGCTTCAAATAAAGTAGAGTTGCAAACAGAGTTGTATCTTCCAAGCTGAGACAAAATTTATCAATATCTACCAAATTCCAGAACGAAACCAAGAAGTGCAGATGGCTACAAAACTTCACAACACAAAAAAGGACAAGAAGTTCAACACGTTTGGACACCAGACATTACTTAAGGTAATTGTTCTTGACAATCACATTAGAAATTTATCTGGAACTTTACTCGCATGATAAACATACCATTGAGAACTGTTTTTCTACTACTGAGAAGTTCATCCAACCCATATCCACCTTCCACAGTAGTAATTTCCCAAGAGTAACCCTGCACGAGAAACAAACATGATATCCAAGGTGCACACAAGTTTTCTGGTGGGAAAATATGATTTTTAATTATCTATGTATACACAGAAGATATACTAGTCAGGCACATACTTTAGGACCAGATTATCAAGAACCGCATACTGAGATAACTATATTAAATCCCCAATTAGGCAAATGATTCTCCGATTATTTATAGGTGTCACGTTCTCCAACTCTTAAAAAAAAGAAAAACACTCGAACCTGGCTGACTGTCAAGATTCTGTCTGCAGTCACAATTGCCCCTTTCAAGACATTCACAGCTTCACCAGTATCCAGGGCATGAGTTCTTGCCCAGGTTGGAAAGATCCATCCCACAGCGCCATACCAATCTGGAGGCAACCCTAAGTTATCATAAGTGGCTGCAGGCTCTACTCCCTGACAATCATAGAAAAAGTTGTAGTTACTGAACATACAAAAACCTGTGCTTGGAACAAGGTGATTCACTCAAGTTCTGGAATTCCTGAAATCACGCAAGCACAGCTCAGGGAAACACTACTTCACGGAATTCTCATCTTATGTGACAAGTTTTCTTTCAACTATTTTCTGTGAGACTGAGATTACTAGGTTTCAGGACAGGTAGGTTGAAAAGATTGTCAAATAATTACGAATAAGGACAAGAGAAAAAAGAAGCCACCTGATGTGCAAGGTTATGTATAACTACAATACTACGAGCATCCTTGTAAACACCATGTGGACGATACTTGGCTGCAAGAAGTCTAACCAGGAAAAGAATTTGTCAGCACCAGTAATATCGCCATAATGACAAGGGTCTGACGTGGGAATAAAAAATTAAGAGATGAATTCAAATTGTGGAGGGATGTTATGAGTGACCTACACAGGAACCAAACCAGCATGCCAATCGTTAGCGAGGAAAATGCATTTCTCTCCATAAGTGAACCCTCCTAATGGAAGCACTAGGGGAGCTTCACATGCAGCGTGACAAAGCAAAGTGAATCGGAACTGTTTTAACCAAACAAGGAAAGAAAAATACATCGATCAATTGAGTGAACAAGAACTCTTTTAACCAAACAAGGAAAGAAAAATACATCGATCACAATTGTCACTATACGATAAAGTGAATTACTTATTCAATCTCACCAATGTTTGGAAACAATCACAAACCTGATTGTCACCAAAAGCACCAAATTGATCACCGTAAGGCGTTCCAGGTCTATGATATGAAGGATGATCAACAAATACCTAATAGGAAGAGAAAGAATTGTACTTGTGAGAGAACCCCGTGAAGTGTTAATCCCTCTCAGATGAATCTCCAACTATTTTTTATTCCAATGCAATAAAATAAGAGAGACAAAAAATCAAAGTTAACAAAAGCTGCAAAGTTATATTACCCAGTCAACCCCTTCCCTGTATTCATGGTAAAAGGAAACTTCTTGTACGCCACCAGCGCAGTAAACTTTGATAGGCTCCCTAACTGGAACTGCATTGGAAAATCTCTTATCAGAAGCACCTCCATCCAAGTATCTAGGACTAACAACCATCACACGGTGTCCCCGTGCAGCTAAAGCTATTGGCAAAGAGCCACAAACATCTCCCAAGCCCCCTGTTTTGGAGTATGGAGCTGCCTCAGATGTAACGAAAATGATATTGAAAGTGACCCGGGGAAATCTGGAATCTGCGGTTGAGTCGGATGGATCTGCTTTCTTTTTATCAATAGAAACCGTTGCATGGGGTTCATTGACCTTTGCATTACCTGTGGCAATATGTCATTATCGGAGATATTGGTGAAAATTTAAACTTTCACCACAGTACAGTACAGCTAAATTATTCAACCAAAAGAAGGTTCCATCAAAGAAGTAATGGTATTGTGCTGATATGATGATGAAGCTCTTACATACTGCTCTCTTTTTTCTTTTCTTTACCCTGGCTTCCCAACAATGGTTCAAAGTTTAAATGAACCATTTAATTTTCAGGGCAACATCAAGATTGCTAATGTTTTTTTTTTAATCCTTTTTAATGAGAAATGAAAAACTGCAGAATAAACAAATATCCAACCGGCCTCTAAGGAAACAGTAACTAAACTAGCCTCAAATCACATCCCTTACAATCACTCAACCCTCCCGAAATATATTGCAACCTCCAAACCAAAACGTAGATCATCCCATATTTACTGAGTTCCAGCAAAATCCATCAATGACAGCACATTTTCTATAGTTCACACATCATCATACAAATTAAGCAGGAAGACAAAATGGAAAATTCATTTCAAATCCAGAATCCTGTATATGAAAGATGACTAACCAGAATCAGGAATCAATCGAAATCCAACAACAGCGCCAGATTCATCCTTCTCTGTCCCAAGCAAGACAGCATTTTTGTCACCTTCATCATCCTCCACAGCCGAAGAAGAAGACGAAGACCCTTCTCGAGACTTACTGTTAACAATCCCGCAAAACCTTCTTGTCTTTCTACCAACAAACCATGATGACGATGCCTGTGGCAGTGTAGTTCTTCCAAAACCCACTTGCCTGGGTACGATAGCCGAACTATTCCGGGGTTTATCCAGGACAAAACCCGGAATTGAGATCCTTGTGGAAGTCCCGGCCATTTGGTAGGGGAGACAGAGACCTGAATGCATACGAAAAGGATATCCGAGGAAAGGAAAGTACAGCTTGCTTGGTGACTGCTAATTATAATGTGAGGCGCGAAAGCCCATGTAGAGGAGAGTGAAACGACGTAGTTGGGCGGCACTGCATACTGACTTGCGGTGGGAAATAGCCACGTGTCATCTTAGATATTATTGGGCCCCAAAGTCTGGTTCTGTCATATCTTGTCTTTCCCTAGATACACACATACTCCGTTTGGATGTGACGGGATCCGTCCCTCATATTTGTTTGTTTTGTTTTTTTTCGGGTGTTTATTAGGGTTTAGTTCATGGGTTTTCTTAACAATGAAATTTTGTTGTTTTCTCATAAATTTTGAGGAGTAACATGAAAAGAAGCTTGTATGGAAAGCGTTTTTGTTTTCGCTTTTGGTTTGAATTTGAGCGAAAATTTAAAATATCTTTTAAGATAAAATTTAAAAAATTATTTGGATAATATTTTAAATAAAATAATATTATATCTTTACCACCGTCGAATCAACTCTACCGCTGCTTACAGGACCGTCCCATGGCCCCGCTTGTAGGCGACAAGCCTTCAAGATTCCAGCCAATAAATAATTTTTTAAGATCGAGAACAAATTTAAATTTTCTAAAAAAATAAGGCTGTTATTAGGGACAAATCACAAAAGATTCAAAGAGTATCAACATACATTAAAATTTCATACTACTCTATATGTCAAAGGCAAGCTTATGTTAATAGCAACAACGAATTACACACCTTATTTTATCGTTACCCCCCGCAAAATATGCATGTACATATATATATTTAAAAAAAGAGGGAAAAAAAAAAGAGTACTTCTATTTAACAAAATTTAACAAAACACAAGGATGGGAGCAAGAATATGAACTGCTAGTTGATTTTGTCTACATGGTCATCCGGTGGGTGCCAGAAGGGAGATATAAAGCCCTATCCTCAATGCTCGAGTCTGGGCTATATCCACCAGCAGCATTAATCCATTTTATTGGGCCACGATCCCCATAGGTCTTTTGATTTGGGCTCCTGGGTACCTGAAAAGCTGATCCACTTCCGACCGTTCCTCTCTTCGTAGATGGGCTGCGGGTTTTACTATTTATGTCCCGATAAGTCTTCACCTTCGCCTTAGCAGACTGGGTCGGGGCCATGTAACTGGGAACCACTAACTCCGACTCCACCGGCCGTTGCTGATGATGGCGGCTCATCACATATGGGCTTCTTTCAACTCCGGCGAAGTCCACACCTCCGATGCCACTTAGGATGGACTTAGCGTTTTCGTTGACGAAATCCATCTCCACCGTCTTCTCCGACATGTCGTCGGTGGTGGAAGTCACGGTGGCGTAGGAGTGGTTCTCTCGCGGCAGCGGCGCCGCCGCTGCCGGCAAATTGAAATTCCGGGTTTGATATGTCTGAGATGCCATCCATTGCTCCAGCCAATTCCATCCCCATCGTTGCTTTCCTTGCATGAATCCATCTTTACCAATCACCATTGGATCATCATCTTGCAACAGCTTATTGTTGTCCTCTTCCTGACGCTAATAATTTTCAACATTCATTAGAAACTTTACTAATAAGTACATAAAATGAGCATTCAAAACATTATTAACATTGTCACGAACCTGGTAGGCGAAAGCATAAGCCAGAGCTCTTTCTCTCTTGACCTCAGCATCATGTTTTCTCATGGAATGCTCCTTCAGTTTGTCAATGCTAATGCTTCTTCCATCCCATCTTTCCATCGTCTCCACCATGTTCTTTGTTATACTCCTCCTCCTATTCATTGCTTCCCCCTCCCCTACCATCGTATCCTGTTCTTGTTTCATCCTTGTCCGGAGCTTGTCATTGGCCAACTGCATTCGTCGAGCTCGAACTCTTGCCTGAACTCGAACTAATGCTTGCATGCATCTCATTGTCATCTGGGCTTGTTTTCTCACGTTGTGTCCTCTTACCAGCGCTTGTAGCCTCACTAGGCCCTTCAGAGCTCGCAGAGCTCGCCTTGCCTAAAATCATCATCATATTCACCCAACCAAAAAGATTTCGCTTTTCAGTAATTATTCTAGTTAAGCACAAGTACAATTGCAAACTGGGAGTAGAGAATCTCTTATGTCTTTCCAACAAGTGATTTGGTTTGATTTCAGGACAAATCTCGGCCAATTTCAGCACTTTCTCAAGACCAAAAACAGAGCATATGATATGACTTGTCATAATATCATGTGTGTGAATTGTACTATCTAATTGGAGGGCCATGATCGACTTTACTTGTCACAACCTTTTCAACTTACTATCTAATGGCCAAATTAAATGCGATTGGGAGTCCGAGAAAGAAGGAATTATGTTAGTACCAAATATCCCCTGTAGTGTGATTGTATAAGTGTAGCCGCTCTTTCTTCTCTAGATTGATGCCGTCCATATCCTGCCAATCTAACAACCTTTGCAGCCGCCTGAGCTGCCGCAACAGCAGCTTCTGCGGCCGCGGCAGTTGCAACAGCGACGGCCATGGCATGGTTGGGATCTTCGGCCACCGATGACGAATTGAAGCTCTCTTCATTGGAGACGTCAGGGGAGCTCTCTGCCGGAAAATGTTCGACAGATACAACTTCCGGGGCTTCATGCTGCCATTTGTCTACATTTTCCTTCTGCAAAAATGCCACAACATTTGTAAAGTCTCTAACCTATTATTCGGTTATTAAAATCTTTACCAACCATTTTTTTTTGTTAATGGGTCTTTTTTTTATCATTGTCATAGTCAAATTTGTAGCTGGAAAAAAAATATGGGAATGAACCAGATGATAGAGATCTAACACAAGCAGCACATGATGACACATAAGGTTTGATGTGATGTTATAGTTGTGAGGATAGCAATTTGACATGAAAACCCTTTTGTTTGCTTAGACCATATCGTGCTGGGGGACCATTTGATCCATCTTATTAGACAACTTTTATAGGTTTGATACTTTGATCTATGATGGTGTAGCCAGAGCCTAAAAAAAGACCAATCAACAGCTAAAAGTTTCTTTATTGTGGTCAGTTGTGTGGGGGAAAACAGAGTTGGATGAATGCATTGATGAATGATGACAAATTTCCCATTGCAGAAAACATGTATGGGGTAAAGTTGACACCCAACTTTATCAATGATCATACAATGATAAGGAAAGAAATTTGCAGATCCCAAATCTGGAAAAGAGCATTATAATTATTAGGTGATGAACCACTGTGTAGCTTCTGCGTACTGTTAGGTGATTAGGTGAGAGAGACACTAATGACTATTGAAGTAACAAGTTAGATAGGCAAAAACATAGAAAAGAAAAGAACATAAAAAATTTTGATGGAATCAATAGAAAAAACATTCCTAGTTGATTAGTCTAATCGAATATGGTGTAGATGTTGAAGCTAGAAATTGTGGTCCTCATTGTATGGTACTGAATGTTCTAAGTTTAGCTTCTACGTAACTCATCCAAAATTAATGAAGCCAGAGCTCTGACTTAATCATCTAAACTTACAAGATGGACAAAGTATACAAAAGTAGTAGGTAAAATTTCTACAATGTAATTACACTATGTGATTTGTGTATGCATCTTTGAACAGCTATAAACATGATGGAAAGCAAACATAAAAACCACCTTCTTTTCCTGCGAGTCCTTGGAGTGGTGTTTGAAGACCTTCTTCACTGAAGAGAACCAGCCCTTCTTTCCCATTTCTTGAGGCTCTCTATAGCATGGAAGATTTGTGATGAGAAAAGCTAATAAAAGGGACGAAAGAAAAACAAAAGCCTATTGTTCAATCTTTCATTCTGAGACAGAAATCACACAATATAATGAGGGAAAAACAAAACCGGGAAGAAGCAGAAAGTACTGAACCTGGTTAGAAAAGAGAGAGATGGCCTTCAATTCTCATTGCAAACTGAAAGAATCAAAACGAGAAACGATGAATTTGTGGGCTAACTAGTAAACAGACAAGGAGTGAAGTGACAATTTTGTGGAAGAATGAGGATACTTTCACTTTTGTTTTTTGGGGGGAGTAAGGTAGTAAAGTGGAGAGCGTGGAGACCCGCGAGTTTTGCCGTTGCTATTTATTGTCCTTCACGAGGGGATGGTTATGGCCTTCCCTCTTTTCTTGCGTACGTCATACGGTATTGTACGACCAATGCGGGGCCCGACAATTGACATGTCAGATTTTTTAAATTCAATGTTAAGCAAAAAAAACTTCAAGAATCAAAATATAGAGTACTTGTTTGGACGTCCACTTAGTTTTCATTTTTCACTTAAAAGTAAAAAGTATTTTAAGTAAAAAACATAATGAGAAATGAAAAAGTTGGAAAGTATTTTAAGTGGAAAACGTAATGAGAAATGAAAAAAGTTATTTGGATGGTAGTTGAGAAATTTTTTTTTGGAATAAGTATTGAAATATCAAGTACGAAAAATATCACTAATTAATCGAAAAGTGTCAATTTAGTCACTGTAAAAAAAGAATTTCAAAAATGATCACTAAACAACGGATAGTGTCGATTTTGGTCACTATAAAATGATCACTAAAATCACGGAATAGCTTCCAAAATTAACATTTTACAGTGACCAAATTCGACACTTTTTCGTTATTTAGTAATCATTTTTTATTTTTTTTTACAGTGATTAAAATTGACACTTTTCGATTGTTTAGTGATATTTTTCGTACTTAATATACATATTCCAAAAAAATTTTTGCTAAACACCATCCGATTGGGACTCGGTTTTTTGACTAGAGGCAAGTTGAAATAAATGTGTAAAATTTTGGATTTAGTCACTGAACTATTTTTAGTTCAAAAATGCTTACTGCACTAACAAAATGTTTCAAGTTTAATTTAAAATGTAAATCAGAAAGTTGTTTGGACGTCAGTTTGGTTTACATTGAGTTTTGTGCTTAAGAGGCAAAATGAGTTGAAAATGCAAAATGAGTGGACCTCTAAACAAGCTTTAATTTTCTTCAATAATATTATTTGCAAAAGGAAAAAGAGATATAGAAACAAAGATTGCTAGCTAGTTAGCACCAAATTGTCTCTAGATTGTTCAAAAAAAAAAAAAAAAACCTTGTCTCAATAACATATTGATAATCAGCGAGCGTGTATGCATGTGTACATGTCCTCCATTGGAGTATTGACTTGTCAACTTGACATTTATATACCAATGACAACTATTTTACCGTATTAATGCCCCAAAAAAAAGACCCCCTCCCCCAAAAAAAAGAAAGCGAAAAAAGGTTTAAAAAAAAAAGTGAGTACAATTGTAGAACTTGATTGACTAAAATGGAAATAAAATTCAATATAGTCATTTGCTTGAGTTTTGCTCTTATGTAGTTCAGCTGTTCACTTCTCTTTTTCATTTTCTTTTACATTTTTTAAAGAATAAATTATATAACAAATTACTGTCCACACAGAGTACAGTATTATGAATTTATGACCAATAACCACCAATTTATTTCCACATATTCCCACTCTATTGTAATGTAATGAAGGGGGTGGTGCGGCTGGTGCCTGCCTGATGGATTGCTCAATGTTAACTGTAATGTATTTAAAGCCTCTTATTTATTTACAAACCAACTTACAATGTTATTTATTTATTTTTGTGTTTTTATCCTAACATGGACGTAGCTAAAAATAGAGATGGACCAGAAACCATTATTAGACTCAACAACTTCAAAGCTAGGAGACTTCCTCGTTTTGACTCTCTTGAGCATAAGGTGAGTTATTAAAAACTATTTCCCACCTTATTTAGGTTAGATTTGTACTGGTTTATTTACGTTAAAAACTTCCAAGTCCCATTTTTCTGGTGAGAAGTTGATGTTTCTCCAACAAAAAAATTCAGAAAGGTAGACAACAGTACTTTCGAGGAGTTCAAGATTGATATTTAGATATGATAAGGTAACATGGCGTTTCCAATTACTAGGAGTTGTGAAATTCAAAATATTATTTAATTTAAATTTTGAGCTAAAAGTGAAAATTCACATTGGAAAATATAATAATTTCTTTTGTCTCAGAAAAATAATATTAGAATTCGTTGAACAAAATAATACAACAAAATAGACTACTATTTTTCTACAACAGAGGAACTAAGAAGTAGTATTTAATAATTAAAAGTTGTCTTAAATTTTTCCCGACAAGTTACATAGAAAACACACTATTTCTTATTTCTTTAATAAGTTAAACATTGTGATTATGTCTAAAATCAAAATGAACTGTAAAACAAAAAACTTTTATAAACGACATAAAAAGGTTAAAGTTATTATTGACAGATACTTTATAATTACAAAATTCGAGTGGCATCTCTCAAATCATAATTCTCATTTTTAATTAGTTTGTGAATAATGATACATATAGGGAAAAACTATAATAAATGACATGTTAAATATTTTAATGTGTCAACGGGAGATCAACAGAGCATGAAACGAAAATGTCTCGAGAAGAAAGTACTCTCAATACGAGAATATCTATTTAACAACGTTGGTTTTGAATTGTTAGTATGTTTCTGTTAAGACAATTGTGTATTTTTACGATTGTGCATAACTGATTTTTTTTTTTTTTTGGGTATAATCGATTGACTGTTATTGCTTTTGCCATTTCGATTGCCAATTGTTAGTAGTATGATTTTAATGGAAAATTTCCATAATTGGCTAGGATTCTTTCTTGGTTTAGGCGTTATTATTATGTTATTACCATATAATATTGGATAATCAGAAAAAGCTCGGGCCCAAGCCCACCGATTTGTTGCTCTTGCAATACGTTTCAGTTAGAATGGGCCGTTATCAGCACTAATGGCCATTGAAGGAGGAAACAAGCTAAAATCTGCCGTTGTACTAAACAAGATCGAGTGGCGCGCCATTTTGATTTTGGTTTTATTTTGAAAAATATTACATCCATCCCACAAAAATAGTTCAGTTTCAAAATGTATAATTTTTTTAATTTAGTCAGCCTCATCAATGTACAACTCATTTTATCATTTAAACTTCCATTTCTATCCCTGATCGAAATTAACCCAAAACCATTTCTACTGTTTAATCTCTTTCATCGCTCAACTCTGCCCAACTCTGAATTTTTCTTCAATTTCAATTTTCGAAAAACTCAATCTTGAGGATAGTAATCGAGTCGGAGGATGTCCACTTTCAAGAACGAACCTCAAAAAGAACCAGAAACCAAGCTCCGGTGACGATACCAGCGGGGTTCCAATTTCCGATCTATTTAAAGAATCTCAGAAGAGTACACCATTGTTCGAAGAAGAGTGAGAATATTAACGAAGTTCCAAATTGAAGATGTGACGAGTGTGACGAGTCTATGGCCATGACATTGTCGAGGAGGGGCTTGGTTTGTCCGATAACGCCGAAGTGAGTCGGTTGGCCGGCGAATCCGTCGAGAGCCCCCTTTGGCAGCATATATAGTGTAGATTATGTGACTGAAAGTGAGAGAGAATGGTCGGAAATTACAGATCGGGCCGGTGACGAAGTTGAGAACGGTCTCCATTGATGCCAGGTTGTGGTGGTTTTGGCCGTGGCGTCGGCTCTATCGGTCAACTTCCAGTGTGACTTCCTGTTATCAATAGCCATGGCTGTTCCATTAACTCTTGATCAAAAAGGGCAATTAAGCTATTTTACTTGTTTCAATTTTGACTTTTTTGAAATTGGACTATTTTTGTGGGACAAAATTTTTTATCAAACTGGTCTATATTTGTAGGACGGAAGGAATAATAAGACTATTATTATACTGGAAAATAGTTGCACTAGAAATTGAGAAATGAAAATTTTTTTCTCTATTATACAAAACTCGATAAATAATAGGTGAAACAATGAAATGACCATCAACTTGATGGAATCAAAAGAAAAACATTCATAGTTCATTAGTCTAACCGAATATGGTGTTTTTGTAGAAACTAATTAGCTAAATCTACGTCCTAACCGTGGTACTGAATGTTAAGTTTAGCTTCTACGTAGCACATTCAAAATTAAAGTCAAAATTACGGCTCAATCATATGAACTTACAAAATGTGCAAAGTATAAAGGTTATTAATACTTTTGTACTACAATGTTATATGATCTGCGAATATACATTGATAATATTCATTATCACCAAAATGTCTCTTTGACCGACTAAAAATAATGTATTGCAAATTATATATACAAAACAAGGAAGAAGCACAAAAAGAACATAGGAAGGAGATCATGATTTATGACGGATTTCTCAGTTCCTTCACTTCTTATGTTTCACTTCATGTAATCTTTATTATTTTCCACTGTTCCTTTTATTAGATGGAGAGAAGAACAGTCCCTCACATGTTGATTTATGGGCTTTGAATGTGTAAAAAAATAAATAATCATAGAGGAACAAGAAAACATGCTTTCTTATGTTGCTAAATCTCCTCCATTACGATGTGCTGCATCATTAATATAATTGTATTTGATTTTCTTATTCTCCCTCTTCTTAGTTCATATTTCTTTCATTTTTCTTTGTGTTTACGAGTATTACATTTAATGATGGGTAAAGGAATGATTTTATAAATCCAGAATCTTTAATTATATGGTTCAAAAGAAAAAAGAGGTTTTAATTATACAGGTAAAAATTTTCAATGGCCAGACAAATGAAACTACAAAAGAAAATTGAAGATCAAAAAAATGTTTGAGATAAAAATAAAACGTTCATAGATTGCAACAGAGAAAATAATTTGATATTATTATTATTATTATTATTATTATTATTATTATTATTATTATTATACCTTTAAAACTAATCCTTTTTACCCTATTAAAGCAGAATACAGGATGTTGATGTGGCAACTTCTTATTAAAAAATTTTGGCTCCAAATGCACCATATTGCATTAACCATTCTGCCACGTGTCATCCTTTTTTTTAAAAAAAAAAAAATCTTATCCGGAGAAACAAAAGCCACTTTACAAAAATAGCTACAAATTTTAACTCCTAACACTTATCATTTATCAATCAAATTAAGATAACATTTAAATTTGCCCATAAATTTATCCACTTTATTACTCCACATTCTTTTGTATAATTTCTGGATCGTTATACTTTTCAATATTTTTTCTCCTTTTGCAGATGATTTTTTTATTTTTATTTTATTTTTGGCTAAAAAAGGAAAAAAAACAAATGTGTAGCTATTTTATTTTTTTCAAATCAAGAATTCATTTATCTATTAATACAAAATTAAAGTAGAGGGGGTGCCCGCACATCTGCCCGGGCCAAGCATCTAGTTGTATTTATGACTGACGACATTTTGAACTACATTGGGGAGACAAGGATAGAGTAGTACATGATTTATTGAGCATATAGACATGATATCAGGAATTAAGAATATATAGATATGAAAAGCTCGATTAAACTCGAACTAGTATCGAATCAAACATTACAATACTCGTGCTCAGCTTGTTATCCATTCCGGGTAGTTTGAATACGACTTGAATTTGATTTTGACTGAATTCGAATCAATGTTGGACCAAACTATTCGCGAATTATTCGTGAGAAGCTCGATTCGTTTACAATCCTACACAACAATGGTTCTATGACTAATTGTAAGTTGTATTTTTTTTTATTGTATCTTTCTTTTGTTAATCACTACGTGACATTTTTCAATAAATGAATAAATTTATGTTCTATTTGATGAAAAAATTCAAAATATTAATCTATAAAGTTAAGAAAGTAAATACTCCATCCATTCTTAAATATATGCCGTTTTACAAAATTGAGTTAATTTTTATCCTATTTTTTTATCATTATTATCCTTGTATTGGAAATGAAATGGTATCCAAAGTGGAATTTTATTGGTTGATGATAAGTTGTACGGATAATAAATAAAGATAATTTTGTAATAAATTATTTAATGTTCTATCGGTATTGATGAAATTCCTAAAAATATATATTACTCCCTCCATTTCAAAATGTAGGTCGTTTTAAATTTGAAAAAATATTTCAAAATATAGGTCGTTTTAGGATTACAAGGCAAATTATAGATTGACTTCCCAACTTTGCCCCCAATAAATGATGTTAACCACTTTTTATCTAGTTTTAGTTATAATTCCAAAATAATTAATGATGAATAAAATAAATATTTAATATACAAATTAATTGTTAAATGATTGTCTCTTTACTTTACGTGCAATTTAAAGTGACTTGTATTTTGAAATGAAGTGAGTATATTTTAGAATGGAGCAAGTATTAGGCATACATGTTTATGTTTGTCACCATGAAGCACTAAAGACCAAAATCAAGCACAATCCAAAAATAATACTCCCTCTGTCCCACAATTATTGTCCAATTTGGGATTTCACTTTTAGTATAATTTAAACTAGAAATGAAAACTCAAACAGGACAATAATTATGGGACGGAGGAAGTAATAGCGTTTTTCTCCGTTGTTGTAAATTCAAACATAAACATTAAGGAAGTGCTCCTTGGTTTGAGGGTTTGGGAGGGTTTGAAACCTTGGCTACGGGTTTCATAGAAAATTTTGATGCTTGGTTCATTTTATGGACCCACTAAAATGGAATTCATTCCAAAAATTCCATTCCCAACCATTATGGAGGGTATGGATCCCATCTTTATGTGTTCTTTGTTTCTACCTCTTCTACCCTTCTCATAATTTATCTCTTCCCAACAGCCCCATTAACTCTCCCTCTAACTCCTTCGAATTTCTCCATCTTCACACCTCTAATTAGTCACCTAAATTATCTCCATCATTCTATCCATTAGAACAAATAGGAAAAAACTAATACCATTTGCTCAAGGAATCTATCATCTCCGCAGCTTGTCGACCAACCATGATTGCACCATCGTCGCCGCTATCCACCACCGCCCATGGCCGCCGCTCGCTCAATTTTTCTCAAAAAATACCCACCAATTTTGCAAATTTCAAATATCTGTTCTCCTCTTCTTCTTCCACCAATTTTGTTCAAAATAATCAAAATATAGTGTTTACTATGGTGGGTTCATATCTGAAGCATTTTCTTATCAATTGCCCAAAATTTCATAAGAACATAAAAATTAATCAAACTTTCAAATGGACTTGTCCTTTTTCTTTTTTTTAAAAAATTTTGTATTAGAAATAAAAATGGCATTTTATATAACTTTTTATTCCCAATTCTTTTCTAACCAAACACTATAAATGGTTATGATTCAAACTCAATTTCTATCATATCCTACCAACTGAACCAGGCACCTTCTAAGATATAATAATAAGTTCACGATACTAGTTTGTGATAAATAAGTTAGAAAGAATATGGCAAAAAGCAGTGGACAGATGAAATAATTTTTTTATATTTAAAGAAATAGTAGAAATATTTTTAACGCTAATTAAAAAATTTTATTCCCCTTATTAATTGTTTTTGTTTTTCCAACGCCCTTAATAAAAAATATTTCAATGAAATATTCTTTCGTTACCAAATAATTTACTTACAAAAATAATTTATTTTAAATATTTTTCAAAATATTTTTTTACATTCTCAAAAAAAAAAGTTACTTACAAAATTATTGTTCATAGACCTTACAGGCTGAAACCAAAACGTCAGGGAGTATACTAAACACCCGGCGCATGTTAGCTCCAGGCGATATTTTTCCCCTCATGCATCATATTAGCGTGTCCTACAGAGTACTGGCTAATATACAGTCCCCCCTGTCACTTTCACTTACCATTTTCTTTTTTCCGATTTCATATAATCTGTCTTCTTCATCAGTCCTTCTCATTTGACTTCGAGCCAAACCTCATTCAAGTTCTAAGGTTAAAGAATTTGTTCAACGTTAGATAGCACAATCGATTTAACGACTACTTGCTACTGTTGAAGAATTTGTCGCCTCTCCACAGACTCTTTAGCTTCCAGCGCACGCTTTACGAACCAAACACATTTGATGCTCTGACGGTAAAAATTCGTTCCAATGTTGCTTTTGAAATCCTTGCTTCTATTGTTTGCTTTACTGAAGCTTTCTTTTAAGACAGCGGATTAATGTTCTGCTTTAGCTTTTCTTTTTGTCAACATTTTCAGCTCTTCCAAAGATTACATTTTTTTATCGCTTGTATTCCTAAGGAATTTTGTTCTAGGGTTCACTCATTTGGATGTGTTGGTTTTGTTTCTATTGACGTCTCTGAGGTGAAGCCAACGCGTTTATATATAATTTTGCGAATCACGCGTTTTTTTGGTCATTTGTTGTTGGAAATTGGGCTAATTCTTTTACACCCTTGGCAAAATAAGAAGAATGATGATTGTATCTTAGCTTCACGGCTGTTGCTGATGTTGGATTCTGTTGGATTATGATATTTAACATGATTGTACCTTCGTGTTATCTACGCCTTTCTGTTATGGTGTTATTGATAGTATTCACATTTGATTTTCTGTCTGTGTGGATGATTTTCGGAGGATTGTTTATTGTATGCACATGATCAAAATGAAACTGTGGTTCTAAATATGTATATGCTTTCTCTTGTTACCTCATTTTGTTTGGTGAGTTTTTTAGTCAGTTCGTTGCCTTTTCCCCTGCAGCTACTTAACCAATCTCTGGCTTTAATCCTTATTTTTTCTCCTTGTTTTGCAGCAGTTTCGTATCTGAGGGCCGAGTATGGATTCTGAACCAACTAATTGGCTGAAGAAAACGGCCAAAAGGCCAGGAGAATGGTTTAATCCTGAAAGGTCTGCAAAGAGGTCGCGTCCACGTGAAGATAGAAATCCTGAAAGTTCTGAAAAGAGGTCATATCCTGGTAAGAGAAGTATGATGATACAAAACAAGCTTACAGATTCAGGGTTCTTCTGCCTAATGGAACCATTGTGGATCTTAAAATCCGTCACATTGGTGGTATAATGCCAATCCAGGTGTTCACTGATTTGTTGAAGTTGAAGTGTCCAGCCGTTCTAACAGAACAGAGGAGAATTGAATGGAAAAGTGGGGATTTGCATTTTGTGGATGCTTTTGAGAATAAGATTAGAAGTGAACTTGATCTTACGAAATATAAGCCAAATGACTGTCACTTTTTAAGGCTGAAGGTAAACCTCTGTTTCTCAGTGAATTTCATGATCCCTTATTCTCATTGTCGATTAACTTTTGTTACATCTTATTTTGCGTGGAAAAGGATGGATCTTCTGAAGCCGATACGTATGAGGTGTCTACCTTCTTAACTATTCTGCATCACTTGTCATTATATCTTTGTGGTCTGTCGGGTCCATTTCTAATGGTCTTTCCCTGAATTTCTAGAACATGTGGGACTTAACCCCGGACACGGATTTGCTTAAGGAGCTACCAGAAGAGTATACCTTTGAAACTGCTCTAGCTGACTTGATCGTAAGCATAAATTCTATTTCAAAATTCTTTTGGTGGGTTTCTTGTTTCTGTTTGGCGTATCTTGTTTTTTTAATGCTGCCTTTACCTTTTCAAACAGGATAATTCATTGCAGGCTGTGTGGTTGAACGAGAAAAAAGAGAGGAAGTTAATTAGGTCGGTGTTTAGTTTATGTTAACTTTAAGCCTCTGTGTTTGAACTGGAAGTTGACTCTGGTATGCTTTTCTCCTTTCAGATTTATGTTTGTGTTACCTAAAACCAGTGGCTTTTTGCTTTTGCATACAGGGTAAAAGTTTCAGAAAACAGTATTGAAATCTTTGATACAGGCCCAGGAATGGATGGAAGTCCTGAAAACTCAATTGTGAAGTGGTATGTGGTTGCTGTTATGATACCCTTAATCTTCTTACACTAGTGGCTGTGTTCATTCTAATTTTTGCTGTGTGTTCAAAAGAAACATCGTGTTCATAAGATGTGTTTTTTCTCATGATGTCCTCAAAGAATGGAAATAGGGACAGAATTGCCATGCCCTCCTATATGAATTATGATAGTCTGCTTATCCTGTTTGATTTGATTGATTTTGGCCTAGAGATTAGAGTCCAGTGTTTGACGATGGATATAGAAGGATAGTTGCCAAATGCTTCTTGCTTAAAATGGGGAGTTACAGCTGTATGTCTGGTTCTTTCCTAAGTAAGAGGAGTTGAATATTGGAAATAGATAAGATAATTGAATAACAAGTATGAGGAATTTTGTTGTGGTAGTTTTCTATTAACAACAGATCTTTCTATCTCTAATTTCTCAATTTCGTTCTGTTAGATTCTGAATTTCGTTTTTCTCCTTATGTAATTCTAGGGGAAAGATGGGGGCATCTTTGCATAGATTAGCGAGAGAAAAAAGCATAGGAACCAAACCGCCATACTTAACGGTAATGCATTCTCACTGTAGCATATCTTAACCTTCCTTTTTGGAGCTTGGTCTCAAAAGATTTTGTGTTCTTAGCTTTTGTGGTTAATTAAGTAGCTTGAGACCTCTGTTACTAACTGCAGCCTTACTTCGGCATGTTTGGCTATGGAGGACCCATTGCAACAATGCACTTAGGAAGGTATTCAAAGCTTCTGAAAGTTTATTGTTTGTGCCAGAAGTTTTTGTTGGACAATTTTTTTACCAAGTTTCTTTCTGGTAGGCGTGCTGTAGTATCCTCCAAGACGAAGAAATCAGAGAAAGTGTACAAATTACATTTGGAAAGAGAAGCTTTACTGAACTCCAATCCAGAAAAGACTTGGAGGGTAGAGTTGTTATTGTTTTTAAACTGCAATGCATCTTGTCACTTGAAACAAGAACTAACCCCTCTCTATTTTTATTTTTTATTCTTTAAAATTACAGACAAAAGGTGGTTTAAGAGATCCCATGAGAGGTGAACTGTCAGAAGCACCACATGGAAGTTTCACAAAGGTAACTAACTATTTTCGACAACTTGTACTTATCTTCAGATGATTGCAAATAGTTGAAGGATTGCAAATTAGAGGCAGTGTAGTGTAGTAAATAGTTTAGCATGTGGAGGAAAGAACCATTGATTTACCAACTAGATATTGGGTAGAATGAGAAATTCCTTATAGCAGTCATGAGTATAAGTTACAACTGTATATCTACACTTTGACAGGTTACAATTTTTGAGCCTAGACTGGGAGGTGTGAACCTAGAGAAACTCCAATGCAAGCTGAAGGACATCTATTTCCCATACATTCAGGTATGTTTTGTCTATCTACTGGGTTCTAGTATTTCCTCGAAAATTAGGCATGTAAGAGTGCTTAACTCAGAGTCATAGGAAAGAGTAGAATTTTGCTTTTTTGTTTCCTCCATGAGTGGTTAATTTATTTGCTGAATGTAAAGACTCTAAGAGTTCTTGTTGAACTGTGACAGTGTGATGAATTATCCAGGAGAGGAAGAACTGAAAAGCCAGTTGAGTTCCAGGTTTGTTCTGCAAAAATTTCACTTTGATTGGGTCATGAAATTTGCTGTACTGAAATTTATTGATGATGATGATCAACTTGTTCAAAACTCTGTTTTTGTGATGATGAAACCCTCAAATTTTTCATCTATATTTTCTAGTTTAATTTTGTCCTTGCTTGCTCATTATTCTTTGGTCCTTTCACTTTCTTGTTCCTCTTTCTACACTTAAGTTTCTGTGTTTTTGTGGTCGGGTATCTCATGAATTTTGTATAAGCTCCCTGGATGTCCTTCCTTTACTGATATCTTCTGTAAATTAGTAGAGTTTTCATTTTGTGGTTTTTTTTTTTTTTTTTGGTGAAAAAGTGTTTTATCATTTTGGGTGGGGTGTGGTTGATTGATCGGAAATTTCTTATGGCTTGGAATCTGGAATAGAAAATTGCAAAAAAAAGCCCTTGAGATTTAATGAAACTACCCAGCGGATCCTGTATTACTGTAAAATTACAGTGTGTTCAAACACTGCCACCAAACATTCCCTTGTCCACCGGTAAAGTTATGGCTGCAGTCTCAAAAAGTCAACTACCATTATTATACCTTGTACTAAACGAGCCTAATTTTTCGGGTACCAAAAATGGTTATTTGCCTCGCTAATACCGCCATTTAACTTAACAAGCAAAGAAATTCTTGAAAGAGAATACTTGAGCATGATAATTGAAGAAATAAATCACAAAATCAATAAAAAGAAATTATATTCCTCAAATTAAAAATTGGAATCATCATCATCAATCAAACAAATTCTACAAAGTGCATGCAGCAAAATTCTTTTTCCGTCCTCTTTATTTCTTCGCTTTCTGTACAGAAAGAACCTATTTGCATTATCCAAATTTCGAACCAATAAGAGAAAAAAGTAAAAAAAAAAAAGAGGAAAAACAGACCTCTTTATCCCAGTAAAAAAAGGAAACACAAAATGGTTGATAATCAGTAAAGAAATCAATGGATGCTAACTAATGCGGGTGATTTAAGAATGGATTGGACCTGGGCTAACCAATTCATCACTTGGAGGACTCAATGCTGGCGGTGGAGCTCCAGAAACCAATGACGGGGGAGGTGGCGGAGGCGGCGGAGCTAATGGTGAAGTTGGAGGCGTTGATGTTGGTGGCGGGGGTGATACGGAAGGATTGGTGATAATTGGGCTGGGATTTTCTTCACTTGGAGGCGGCTGCGTCTGTTCTGGCGGTGGCGGTGGCGGAGATTCAGTAGGATTAGGACTTGGTGTGGAAGAAGAACTTGGCGAATTGTTGTTACTTGGGCTGCTGCTACTGCCGGGATTCGGAAAAACGGCGGTGGGAGACTGGTAACAAGAGCCACCATCAGCGGAGCATTGGTTGTGAGATTTGTGAGTGCCATGCTTAAGAATCCCAAATCCCAATATGAGTCCAGTCACAACAAGCGCTGTGACTATGAAGATGAAGATCTTGGTTGCCTTTCCCACGTAACACATATCGTTCAGTATTACTCAGCAGTATAATTACTCTGTATTTCCTCTCCTCTGTCTTTGCTCGGAAATGGGCTCAGAACTCAGAGTTGGTAGGTATACATTGATAGATGTTCATAGTTCTAGAACCATTTCCCTTGGGTTTCTGCTTTAAAAGACATATGGGGATGGATAAATGGTTAACGAGAGTTTTGAGTTGGTTTTGGGACTCATTTTTTTCTCTCCTTTTTTTTTTTGGATTCTTCTTGTAGTTGGGTCGGAATCCCTCGCAATGAAGTGTATTTTGGTGAGGGAAAATTTGGTCTTTAATCGTTGGCGTGGGAGGAGATGTTCAGATTGCACATGTATCCAATTAAGGGGCAAAAAATAATGGGCGACAACAGACAAAACGTTCTTTTTTATGTAAAGAAGTTTTTTTTTCCCCTTCCCATTTCAATTTGCTGGCCTGGAAGTAACGGTGAGTTTGGCCGTTAATTACATCGTCCGGCTATGCGGAGGTTTTTGTAGTTTCACCAAATATAAGGTCTTCTTTGTAATTTCATGAAATTTTGGGGTGGTTTTGTATTTTCCTGAAAGAAAAACAGTTGCAGTTTCACAAAATCATTGTTATAAACAAAGATCTTTGCTTTTCTTCTATTTATTCGTTTCATATCTGTTATCCAGGCCGGTTGTCTACTTAGTACACTGAAAACATCGCCTTCCTGGAAAGCATTTTAACACTATCTTCCTGTACCTTAAATCAACTTGTCAAGTTGTTAACTGTTGCTTATGTTTCACAATGCATTTGTATTTAGTCCAGTTCAGTTGTCAATGCACTATAGTAAACTAGCATTGCTCGTACTGAAATGTAACCGATGCACAATCTAGTTAAGTTGGCCAAGTTGCTATGAACTGTGAATAGTCTTTTCCCATGTTCTTTTATCTGTCTCTGCACGTTATATCTACTTCATATCATGGATACTAATAGGCAAATACAATTTTCTGTCAGTCTTGTTTTCGTTCACCAAACTGAATTTTTTCCTTCCATGAAACTCAAGTCTGCTTGGAATGCTGTTGTCAGTTCAGTGAAACATAAAATTGGAAGAGAGCAACATTTTAACTACAGTTCTATTTTATGAGGTGGAAACTCCATTTATGAGGTTTTACATCTGATGTTTACATTACCGCTCATGTGAAATTGACAATTTTTTTTAGGTAAATGGCATCGACTTGGCAGAAGTATTAAGTGGAGAGGTAGCACTTACAAACATACACTCATGCAATGGACCATCATTTGTTGTACAATTACGCTTCACCAAGGAGACAAGCCAAAATGTATCATCTTCAAGCGCTGGTGAGATTCTTGTTCTGCCTTTAGTTGCAGCAGTTTTTTTTTTTTTTTTTTTTGAAAAATCTAAGTATTTGGCTGTCAATGTAAAATTGTCCAAAATTCTTTAGTGTAACTATAAATTTCAGCATCTAGAGCATCCGGAGAAGCAAATGCATGTCTCAAATGCGTTTATTTCCCTATCATCGAGGTGTGCCAATTTCTCCGGAAGCCAATGAAACTTTTTGTTGTTAATGACATCTGTAAACATGTTCCTCTCAGTAAATTTGCTTTTTCGTGTAGGGCAAAGAGAGCATTGACAGTATACTGGAGAAACTAGAACAAGATGGATGCGGCATTACTGAAAACTTCAAGAGTTTCAGTCGTGTTTCTGTTCGTCGACTAGGACGTCTACTTCCAGATGCACGTTGGGTTAGTCTTTCCAGTGGTTTTGTCTGAACTTTTATTTTTCTGAGTCTTCTGATCACTTTTAGTGGAGTAAATTCCTGGATTTTTACTTGTATAATGCAACAAATAATATTAGAAAGTTAACAATATTCTATCTTGATCACATTCTTGTATGTGTTAAAGAAGAACATATGACACTTCATAGAAAAGGTGTAATCCACTTTTAACTTTTCATGATTATAAACCTCTAGTTACCTACATAACTTCATTATATAAATACCTCTGTTTTCTTTTGTCTGGAAAACCCCAAGTTTGTTAGAGTCACCTGATAGAACATTATTGCTCCTGATGCAATGTGTTATGTTAAATTCCCTATAGTTTGTTTAGTACATATTCCTATATTTCTTCACTAAGTGAAACTTTGAATGATCTGAGTTGATAAAATGTGTTTGTATTGTTGAAGGCATGGCTTCCATTTATGGAGCCCAAGCAGAAAAAGGGAGTCAAGGGGCAAATCTTAAAGAGATGCTGCTATCGAGTCAAATGCTTCATTGGTGAGATTAATATTATAATCCAACATAGTGTAGTGATATAGCAATCTTGTTTTCTTACCGCTCGTTGAAGTTCAGCTTTCATTCCTGTTTTGGTATTCAGCTTCTTCATTCATTAACTTTCCCGCAGATACTGATGGTGGCTTCAACCCAACAACTTCTAAGGTACAAACCTTGTATCGTACTAGTTTGCTGTATTAGTTAAGGTTTCTTGGAAATTATTTTTCCTTTTGTACGGTGCAGTAGTAATGTGCTTTACTAGGTGCTTTCCCTGGATGGCTTTGGTTACTCGCTCAACCTTTAAATTTCATTCACTAGTATGTATGTTCCGTAATTTCTCCTTTTGTTGTAATTGAGTTACACTGGATGTGCTTTATCCCATATCTTTTGTACTGTGCAGTAGTAATGTGCTTTACTAGGCGCTTTCCCTGGATGGCTTTGGTTACTCGCTCAACCTTTAAATTTCATTCACTAGTATGCATGTTTCGTAATTTCTCCTTTTGTTGTAATTGAGTTACACTGGATGAGAATTTATCCCATATCTTTAGGTTTTCCCTTTGAACTTTTACCCATTTAACATGTTTCCTTGATCTTACATTCACAGGGTGAGACATCTCATGTGTTTAGTTCAGCATTTTTAGATTTCATTCTACGTCCCAATTTGATTTTATTTGTCGAAAAGATTATCTTCCTTGATGTGCTTTCTTTTGTAAACATTTTTTTCTTTTTTTTTTTTTGGTCTTTTTCATGACATTTTGGGTTTGCTTTTTTCAGACAGACTTGGCGCATCAAAGTCCATTTACCCTCGGCCTGAAAAGTTTTGGGAAGAAAGATCTTGGCAAGGAGAAAGGTAAAACTGATTATACTTCTTTGTGCTATTGGATGCACTTTGCAAATTTTGCCTTTTTGGATGTTCAAATATGTTGTCATTGTAGATGTCCGTATTGAAATTATCCACGATGGGAAGGAAATTAGTCTGTCAAAACTGGAGAAGCTATATGAAGACTGGATTTCTAATATGCATGATCAGTTCGATGAAGAAATGGCCACTGGCAATGATGAAGCAGTGCTTATAGTTGACCCTCCAAATAACAAAGACCTTGGAATCTCTTCTGAGGGTAAGGCTGGATATGCGGAAGCTTTGTTGCATTCTTGATAATTGGTGATATTACTATTTGAACACTGTTTAAGCTTTTGTACTGCCTCAGTGATATTGTTATTTTGCATTCAGTGATTAGGGTTCACAAACTTTTTTGGAGAAAAGAAGTATTGTGGAGATCTGGACAGAAGATAAAGATTCTTAAAGGAGCATATGCTGGCTTTCATAGAACTGATACATATGCTACTTTGGAGTATATTATCCTTGAAGGTTGGCAAGGGGATGCTGGATGTAAGTGTTTTTTTTTTATAATTATTATTTTCTTTTTCTTTTTCAAATTTCGAATTTGAATGTAATTTGATGTATACAATGTTTTAATTCTCTATTTCATGCTAGTAATAGTTTGTTGTTGTGGGTAATAACCCAAATTGATTATCTAGCCTCTTATTGTAATATAACTTTTCTGTTTTCTGTTTCATAAAGAATTAGCATCCTCTTTGTTGTTTTGAGTAAAGTTTTTTTTGTTGAGATTATTGTAAAAAGCTTTTTTATTTTTTATTTTTTTATAGTTGTTGTAACCGTGTTCCTTTTTGTCCTACATGTGAAACAGGTGAAGCTCGGCTTATTTGTAGGTATGTCAGTATTGGTTATCTTCTTATATACACCAGATGTGATGCGAATTTGTATCTCTGAACTGTTTTTTGCACTTACAGGCCTATAGATGTCCCTGATAAGGATGGCTGTGTGATCACTGATGTTAAAGACAATCCAACCATCAGGCTGGGAAGCTCCATCTCTCTGCCAGTTAGTGTCATAGATTGTGATAAAGTTAGTGACTTTCTTTGATAAAATTGCTTGTAGTAGCTTTCTAATTTGTCTCTTCTAATCACACAAATTGTTCTTCCAGTGTCTTTAAACTGTTTCCAAAACATGTCTAACTTCCTCACAGTTCGTACCCATTGAAGATGCTGCGTGGGATAACCAAATTCAGAAGCGTAATCAGAAAATGCCGTCCTCTATCGAGATATTGGGAGCCCGGGATTGTCATGAATTAGGATTTAGAGGGGTACACTTATTTCAAGAAGTACTTATTATTATTGTTAGTATTATTATTATTTTTGTTGTTGTTGTTATTGTTATTAGAAGATATGCTGCCTTAGTCCTCATAAATGGCTTTTCTAAGAATGGTAAGACCGTAAGAGCAACATTTCACAATCATTGCGGGTCTTTTATTCGGTGAAGATGTGCTGTTTGCATTTCCAAAGTTGATGGCATCTCTTATGTTATGTAGAGGGCAAAATCAATGGGTAAGAGAAATCATGATTGAGGGTAATGGGCAAGTGGTGTTTTGTAGAGGACAAAACATCTATGGTAACTATAGTTGGTTCCACCATACCTATCTTTAGTCATTTTTTACTACTTGAACCATAGAATTTAGGGTGAACATGTTATTGTTTGCTACGATTCATACCTACGGAAGGTTTAGTTGAACTGTGGAACTTTATGCTAAGCTCTAGCTTGTAAAAACATTGATAGGATGAAAAGCATATTGAAAAACCGAAATTTTACACAGATTATTGGTTTGTCAATGTCAATTATTATTACTGTTATCAGAGTCGAACTAATTGCAAGCATGTAGGGTTGTTATACTCTCTAAGGGCAAATTTATATTTTATTAAGCAAAACAGAAAATGAAACTCTACAGACATTGGTTTGTTAATTACAAGAGCCGTAAATGTCATTAGTGTCTTTTAAATTCTAAGCTTAGTTTGAACTGGGATTTACATTAGGGAGTTTTCATTTTACCTCCTGCCTTTTTTTTTTTTTTTGTGATTTCTCTAAAGAGGTGGTTAATTGAACTCATTCCTTATAGTAATTCTTCTATTGAATTTTGGTTGCAGGCACTTCCTGACGATGTAATTGATGCTGGTTGTGACCCTTCTGAGGAAATTGTTGCGGTCATTCGTCCTGCATTTTTTAATAGCACACCTTCCAAGAATGGGGACAGGATGCAAATAGTTCAAGAAAAACATCGAATGATGATAGAAATTAGATACGTTGCTGAAAATTCTGGTGCAGATTATGTAAAAGTCTTTTCCGGGGAAATGACCCCATCTTCACTGAAGGGTGTCCACGGCTTCTATATCTTTAAACTTAGGAAGGAGTTTCCTAAGTTATTTGAACGAGCTGGTGTCTATACATTTTTTCTTTCCCTGGTAAGTGATATGCTTTTACATCTGTTTTGTTCTTTTTCCTTGCATAAATTGATGGAAACAAACTGCTTCATCTTACATTCTTGACTTGACATTGTTGCATCACAGAAAGACAAGAAAAATGTACATTGTGAGAGAAGTATAAATGTCAAAGCACTATTGAAGGTCAAAAGTTGGCGACTGCTAGGTGATAAGGAGAGTACAAATTTCACTGCAAGGTATATATATGGGGACGTTTTTTGTTAGGTCGGGGCTCTTTCATAGCGATTGAGCATTGGTTTTGAATACTTATTTCTTTAGTATGATGATTTACTCATAAGATTAGCGAAAAAGAACATATTAGGTGATTGATGTTTTTATATGTTCTTTCAGTAAAATGGATCCTGAATTCATTCTTGGAAACTGGTTTAATAACCTGTTGGGAAATATCAAACATAAATGTTTGGTCCTATATCTGATTGGGAGAATTGCGACAAGCTTTTTGAGCACTCGCTTTTAATTTACCGTCTTCAGAGACTTATTCTACTGCATTCTTGTGAGTTATTTTTCATTGTGATGTAGTCTCCACCAGTATTGTGACATGTATTGTGACATGTTCTACTGCTAAATTACATTTTCTGAGTTGATGGAGTACTTAAGTTGGTAAATTCCTCAACTTCCTATCGTTGCTAGCTGTTACACTTTATGGAGTTTGGAATGTTTATAACGATGTCATTTTGCTTTCATTGCCAATGACTAAGGTCACAAATGTGTGGGTTTACAGGGCCGGTTCTTGTTTTCCGCCTTTCTCCATTGCATGCTTTGATAAGTATGACAATCGCTTGCGGTTTCCTGCCAACCTCAATGTGAAGATGAAGGTGATGAGTAGTTACAAAGGTTTCACTGCTCTGCTGAGCAATAAGGAGGAGTTCATTTCTTCTGACGAGCTAACGCTAACAATAAAGGTATGATCATCATTAACAGTTTCCATGTTAAGCTGAAATCTATGCAGTAATATTAATGACAGGACCGGTTTCATAGAAACTAAAAACTGTCAGTTATGCAGGATGTGCAGGTGGAAAGCTGTGACTTGGATAAGATTCGGCCAAGCTATCGTGTCACCTTGTTTATATTTCCTCCAGATGAATTGCCTTCTGTAATCATTCCTAGTCAAGGTCTATTCGCCAACTCTTTGATGCCTTTTATAATCTTGTTCAAACTGGATCAAGCATTTGATCCTGGATTTTAACATATTTCTTTATCTGAGAGAATGTTTTCACGTTTTTTTAGTGTTTCCTGGAGTTCCTAGACGTGTCTTATTTGATTCAGCAAAATTCATAAAGCAATTGATACCTGGGGAGATCATTAAGGACCTAGTTTTAGAGGTACGGATCTGTTGTTCTTAAATGGTATGGATGCTGGTATGCAGCCTATAAAGCTCAATTTTTTTTCGAATTGGATTCTTTGTAATTCTATCATACAGATATGGAGCTTCGGTTTACAATTTCATGGCTGTCTTTTTATTTTTTCTTACATGTCAAAACTACTTCTTGCTTAAGGTGTTCAACTAAGTAAATGATTTTCAATATTTTTTGTTCCACTTTGTTGCACTATGTTTTTTCTCTGTTTATCTTTTCAAGAGAAGTTGCTAAATCTTTGTCTGAGGCAAAGTGCAACTTTAACTTAGATTTGATTGCCTGGGACTTTGTAAGATCCTCAAGCATGACTTTAATTATGTTTTGCTTAGGCTTTATGTTATGTACCTAGCACACCTCAGTACTCTTTATAACTAGATATGTATATATCAAACCGACTAGTAATAAGCTCCACCTTCTTTGCTCGAATTGGACATGCTTTAAAATTTTGCTTTGGAGAGTATTATGGTGAGAAAATCTAAAATCAAATCTTCTGTGCCCTGTTCCTTTCAACTTTTTTTCACATCTTGTGTTTGTTTGTCTGTCTGAAATTTTCATCGCTATTATTTGGCTTTACTTTTAAGACCATTATTCATGAATCCTTGCTAAACAATAACTTATGTTCTTTCAATAATGTCATCTGCATCTTACGTTCAATTTCCCTGGTACGTGAGCAGGTTTTTGATGGCTATGATAATCATGTCAAAGAAAATGAGTCTATTCGCTTGCAAGTAGATGGTTTCTATATAAATGATGAAAGAGGTTTGACTTTCAAGGTTGGTATTTTCTTCCCTTGCATTCCTCAGTCATCGAAGACGTTGTCACAGAACATTCTATTTTTTTAAAATGAAGAAATAGGATCGACAAAGTAGTTCAGGGAAAGTGAGCAGATAAACTTGGAACATGGAGGAAGATACCCTCATAAAAGAACCAATTGCCAAATTTTCTATTTCTAGTTGAAAAGGTGATAATGCAATTGTTAATAAGGTAAAACAGTCCTTTGGACTGGAAATTATTTTCATTGGAAAGCTAATAGACTCTGGTAAGAACTGTTGTTATGTAGAAGGTGTGTCAGAGTTTCTCACAGTGACTTAGTCAAATGAAAAGCATTAGTTTGTTAATTACTGAGTTTCTACCTTTATGCCCTTCAGATAAGGTGAATCATCTTTTGCAGGCAAATCAAAGTGGTTCTGTTGATTTATGCGATCTTTTTCAAGTTGCACGGGGATTTGGTGAGAGTGGTATTGTTCTGCATCCAATTTCTCAGTTTTCTGAATAATTGTTGTTAGTATTTAAGCTGCTATAAAATAACATCTCCTGTTCCTTGAATTCGTATTTAATAATGTTTCATTTCAGTTTCTGTATGCCTCCTTTACTTGATGTGAATATTTTTTGGTGCTGTCTATTCGTATATATTCATTATTGTTTCAACTTTCAACAGTTTCCTTCTCTGTGATTTCGGATCATCAAACAATTTTTAAGGAAGTGTTTCAAATAGAAAGAAGAGAGCTCCGAGCTGCATTTGGAGTATGTCTTTGAATATTTTCTGATCCTGTTTGAGTGCTAATTTGGCAATTCCTAATCAGTTGCACTTTTTGTTACTTAACGACACCAGATGCCAATACGTATTGCTGCTGGCAGTCACTTGAATAATTTAATATTTGAGGTCGTAAAGATGGATGGTGAAGTGGATAGAGATATCCACGGTGGTCACCACCATAGTCTCACTATTAGATCAGAGTCGATTGATCTAGATGAATCGCTGACATATGACTTCCACTTAGGACGCTGCACTGTCCAAAAAATTCCTCTTCCACAAAAGGAAGGAAAGTTCAACATCAAAGCTACTCATTCAAATCATCCAGAGCTTCATCTGAATGTGGAGGTTGTTATACTTTTAAACTTTTGGTTGTCATTACAATGTCAAAAATGTTAATGATTACTGATAATTGAACCTCCATCTCAGGTGCATATCCTGAACCAATTGCATGAGCGTAAAGATGGACCCTCACAAACAGAAGGAAATATCTTGTCCCACTCTTTCTTTGATAAGCGGCTACAATCTTCAGACAAAGGGCTTTTGCTTCTTCCAGCCCCGTCTACTCCTTCAGTTATTGGGAACTTGAAAAAATGCATGACAAATGATCATAAGGTAATTTCTATATGTGCAGTATTATTTGGTTATTAGTTGGAAAAGTGGCTTTCATCAACTAATCGATCATGGGATCTTGCTTTATTGGTGCATGGTCAGCTTGAAAATGTTCCACCTCATGGTTCAGAAGGCCATCGTCTGTCTTTCAAGGAATCCTCTGGATTAGGGCACTACAATGATGCCTTGCATACACCTGCAGAAAGGAGTATCATGTGCCTACCAGACTCAACTTTCCCTTCTCATGTTGAAAGTTTGGCTACTGATAATGTGGTATGGTGATCTATTTAAAATTGATGGAGTTATGCTTATATTTGAATGCGGAAACACCTGGTATCAAGTTAAATAATTTTCAAGGCCAATCTTATCTTTCTGGATATTATTTTTGGGAACAGCTTGAGGATGAGCCTCTCGAGCAGTTGAGCCTGCAGGAGCTTGAGGACCAGATTTTGCAATATGGTTCTTGCATCAAAGAGCATGAAGTGAAAATAGAATTTCTCATTCTTCAGCAGTCCAAAATTGAGGAAGACATTTCCCACTTGAAAGGTTGTCACTTCCACTTTTGTTAAATTTTGTTGTATCAGTAATCATGTTTCATCTTGCATGCTTATTGGATTAATTAGGCATATTTATCTGTTATTTTTGCATCATAAAGTTTTAAAAGATTAAGTTAGCAATTAACTGGATGAGAGGTTTTGTGCTCTCATATTTCACATGATTATTGTCCTTTGTCCATATCTATGGGCCCTTTCGAATTATGCTGATGAATTTTTTTGGGTGCCTCAATTCTGCTGTGTTTGTTGAAAATAAGTGCATTGTTATTAGAGCATTTTGATTTTAATTCTATTGCTGGGGAAAATTTATATGTACTGAATATTTGTGTTCTGATTGCACAAAATTTAGAGTACTGGATCATATGGGATTGTTTATTATCTTACCAGGTAGTTTGGATCTTGATGAAAGACATGATATCGATTGCACATACGAGAAAGAGTTAGTCATGGAAAGAATTGTTTCAAAAGTTGACACTGCTGCTGCTGTGTTATGCCAATTATTTCAATCATCTTCTGAAGAGACAGACTGTGATCTTCCAAATGATGTTATTGGTGTTGTTGCATGTCTTGGATCAGTTTGCAGTAATGATATCAGCAGGTATCCTTTGCCCCTTCGACTTTGTTCTCTTGGAATTAAAAGAACACTGAACTGGTTCTAGTGATTTGCTAAAGCTTATGTTTTCTTATGGTTTTAGGATACTTGCACGATATTTGGGTGAAGATCAAATGCTTGGTATTGTTTGCAAATCTTATGCAGAAGCATCACGTTTTGAGAAGCATGAATCAGATGGAACTGTAAATAATGCCTGTGGTCTTCATGCCCTGGCAGCTAAACTTGGGATGTCTATAAATAAGCAATATCTCGTATTCTGCCTTGAGAACATTAGGTACCACAATGTTGCCAATTTGCAGAGTAACACCACCCCCCGGCACGAAAAAAAAAAAAAAGAAGGCAAAAAAGTCTCAAAAGTGATTTCTCTTCCATATGAAGAATAGGACTCAAATTTTGTTCTTCATGCAGGCCTTACACTGGGGAAGTTTCTACTGATTCTGAGAGGAAACTTTTATTACCAGCTCCCATCATGCCAAATGGAAATCCTCCCCCTGGATTTCTGGATTATGCGGTGAACATGATAAACCTTGATGTGCATTATCAGCGATGGATGACTCCTTCAGGTTATGGTCTTCGGGAGACATTATTCTATTGCCTATTTGGTGAGCTACAAGTGTATGAAAATAGGAAATATATGAACTGGGCAAACTCTTGCATCAAAGATGGCGCTGTCTCACTGGATGGAGGAATATTGAAAGGAAATGGAGTATTATCTCTTGGATATGGGTAATGACTACCTCACTTTTGTGATATTTCTATCTTTGTTTCCTTTCCCTGCAGCCTTGTAAATCCATCGCAAGTCTCTGTGCAAATATAATTGTTGCTTCTGGACCTCATTTAAGCATTTTAATTCTATGTTCTTGCCTTATGATGCAGCTTTTGGCATTTGAGACAGGGACCACTACTATAAATAGCTCCAAGTGCAAAATTTGAGTTGGCTGAGGAAAAATTTTACTCTTATGATTTTCTTTCTGGTTTATTTTTTCTAGAAGGTATTCATCATAAGTTATCTGCTGCTTGGAAGATATTGTGTTATTTTGAAATGTATTGCTTTCTTGAGTTCCTAGGGTGAGGGGGTATCCTCATGCTCTAAATATTCTCTTTGGTTCTTTGTTTTTGTTTAGAATGTGGATACTTTCATACTAGCCATAGTTACCAGTTAGAATTGTCTTATTTGCTCTACCATCAATGATTCTGGGTGAGTCAAAAATTTTCTTTGTTTGATTCTCAACAGGGACGTAGCCATACAGTTTCCTGTAGTTCCAAGTGAGTGCAATATGCAACTTTCCCACAGAATGGTAGAAATTAGAAAGCAGATGGAGGGTAAGGAGGAAGAACTCAGAGAGGCGCACGATCAGCTCACAAGAGAGCAGAAAGCCCGTGAAGAAGTACTGAAGAAGTTCAGAGTAAGGAAAGAGAGATACGAGAATGTGTTGGACAACATTGAAAGATCATCCTCAGCTATGCTATGTAAAATTCAGTTCGAATAGCCAAGAGTTGGTGTGGTTTGACGGTTCTGGTCCCTTCCTCTTTTACAAATGTAGTTTTTTAGCAAGTACTGCCCTAGGTGACATCGGAAATCTTGGTCACTGACTGACTGACTGACTCTATGCCCTAGTCAGGAAATCCTTTCCTCCTTTTTTGAAAATTCACGCTTTGATTCAGTTATATTTGATCGTTTTCATGGTAGTTCTTCAAAGGCTAAATGCAACTGACTGCACCTTAGAAATAAATACATCAAGCAGATTTTAGCGTAATATGTTATTTTGGCCTGCCAATCTGAGAGACATATCCCTCCCTTATTGCACACATCCAGTCATCTTTTCCAGCTCAGTTATATTAGTAACTAGACATGAAACAAATATGGTTTTGCTTGTGCTCTTCTCAAAGATTTACTTCAGTATATTTTGTTTAAAAAAAGGAAAAAAAAAAAAAGAAAAGAAAAGAATGGGAAGCCTTTATGAGTCTATGCTGAATTAATAGGGAGTTATATTAGTAACTAGACATGAAACAAATACTGAACATCACAGCAAACACATGCTCTAAAATGTAATTTAGACAGAGCTTAAAATTATACCATGGAGAGCCAACGGTAGGATACTCTCATACTATACCATGAGTTAAAAACATTGGCGTCAATCATTCCTTTGTATGGGAGCGATTCTTTTGTATTCTTCACTTTCTTTGTTGATTTCGCACCCGACATCACCATTCCCAATGTGGCTAAAAGATCCGAGTTAGCTTATAACCCGGTCTTGATCCGGATTTAACCCGCGCATTTTTTATCTTATTAAAATTTCGAATATTCACTGTCTCGTTCTAATCCAATAATCGATGGCTGCAAGCCTGCAATTGAAGAAATCTTTCGATGGTGTGAATGCCAAGTTTTTTAAGTGATAAAAAGAGGTGCGTATAATCGGCGGCGTGCTCACTTTTGTGTTTTTAACCATGTTTTTTTTGTAGTTCTGTAACGTGTTTGATAAAATGCTTGCCTTATAATAAGGCTTTTGAGGTTGATGATTATTGTTTTTTTTTTTTTTTTTCCGTTGCTGAGTAAATTGTTACGTAGTAGTATATTTTATGCCCAAAACAGAATTCTACAAAAATGCCTCTCAAGCTTTGCATCAATGATATGGTTTAAATTAGATTGATCTGTATGACTAACTTTTGAGATTTTGCATGTTTTGTATTGGGTTTTGAGTTATAGATTACTTGTTCGTTAGTTACACGAAAAGAGTACCTGATTTTTGGCTGACCTCTAGGTGGTTTGAGAGAGATAATGCCCAACTGTTCACTAAAACCTGTAGATTATATATATATAATATATATATATTTTTCCATAATATTTCCTGTCCTCAAGATTTTTAAGCTCAAATTTAGTGGGTTCTAATTGTCATCATTTACCTCCGATTTCAATGACGTAATCTGGATTTCTTGCTATTGAACAAGTTTCGCTTTGTAGGGGTTGCCATAGGGTTGAAATTTCCATGTATGATATTGCCTTTATTGTGGGAAAAGCTCACATTGACCTTCAGTAAAAATATGGTTTTGCTTGTACTCTTCTCAAAGATTTACTTCAGTATATTTTGTTTAAAAAAATGAAAAAAAAAAAAAGAGAAAAGAAAAGAATGGGAAGCCTTTATGAGTCTATGCTGAATTAATAGGGAGTTATATTAGTAACTAGACATGAAACAAATACTGAACATCACAGCAAACACAGGCTCTAAAATGTAATTTAGACAGAGCTTAAAATTATACCATGGAGAGCCAACGGTAGGATACTCTCATACTATACCATGAGTTAAAAGCATTGGCGTCAATCATTCCTCTGTATGGGAGCGATTCTTTTGTATTCTTCACTTTCTTTGTTGATTTCGCACCCGACATCACCATTCCCAATGTGGCTAAAAGATCCGAGTTAGCTTATAACCCGGTCTTGATCCGGATTTAACCCGCGCATTTTTTATCTTATTAAAATTTCGAATATTCACTGTCTCGTTCTAATCCAATAATCGATGGCCGCAAGCCTGCAATTGAAGAAATCTTTCGATGGTGTGAATGCCAAGTTTTTTAAGTGATAAAAAGAGGTGCGTATAATCGGCGGCGTGCTCACTTTTGTGTTTTTAACCATGTTTTTTTTGTAGTTCTGTAACGTGTTTGATAAAATGCTTGCCTTATAATAAGGCTTTTGAGGTTGATGATTATTGTTTTTTTTTTTTTTTTTCCGTTGCTGAGTAAACTGTTACGTAGTAGTATATTTTATGCCCAAAACAGAATTCTACAAAAATGCCTCTCAAGCTTTGCATCAATGATATGGTTTAAATTAGATTGATCTGTATGACTAACTTTTGAGATTTTGCATGTTTTGTATTGGGTTTTGAGTTATAGATTACTTGTTCGTTAGTTACACGAAAAGAGTACCTGATTTTTGGCTGAACTCTAGGTGGCTTGAGAGAGATAATGCCCAACTGTTCACTAAAACCTGTAGATTATATATATATAATATATATATATTTTTCCATAATATTTCCTGTCCTCAAGATTTTTAAGCTCAAATTTAGTGGGTTCTAATTGTCATCATTTACCTCCTGATTTCAATGACGTAACTGGATTTCTTGCTATTGAACAAGTTTCTGCCTGTACTGGTTTGCCATAGGGTTGAAATTTCCATGTATGATATTGCCTTTATTGTGGGAAAAGCTCACATTGACCTTCAGTAAAAATATGGTTTTGCTTGTGCTCTTCTCAAAGATTTACTTCAGTATATTTTGTTTAAAAAAAGGAAAAAAAAAAAAAGAAAAGAAAAGAATGGGAAGCCTTTATGAGTCTATGCTGAATTAATAGGGAGTTATATTAGTAACTAGACATGAAACAAATACTGAACATCACAGCAAACACAGGCTCTAAAATGTAATTTAGACAGAGCTTAAAATTATACCATGGAGAGCCAACGGTAGGATACTCTCATACTATACCATGAGTTAAAAACATTGGCGTCAATCATTCCTCTGTATGGGAGCGATTCTTTTGTATTCTTCACTTTCTTTGTTGATTTCGCACCCGACATCACCATTCCCAATGTGGCTAAAAGATCCGAGTTAGCTTATAACCCGCGCATTTTTTATCTTATTAAAATTTCGAATATTCACCGTCTCGTTCTAATCCAATAATCGATGGTGCAAGCCTGCAATTGAAGAAATCTTTCGATGGTGTGAATGCCAAGTTTTTTAAGTGATAAAAAGAGGTGCGTATAATCGGCGGCGTGCTCACTTTTGTGTTTTTAACCATGTTTTTTTTGTAGTTCTGTAACGTGTTTGATAAAATGCTTGCCTTATAATAGGGCTTTTGAGGTTGATGATTATTGTTTTTTTTTTTTTCCGTTGCTGAGTAAACTGTTACGTAGTAGTATATTTTATGCCCAAAACAGAATTCTACAAAAATGCCTCTCAAGCTTTGCATCAATGATATGGTTTAAATTAGATTGATCTGTATGACTAACTTTTGAGATTTTGCATGTTTTGTATTGGGTTTTGAGTTATAGATTACTTGTTCGTTAGTTACACGAAAAGAGTACCTGATTTTTGGCTGAACTCTAGGTGGCTTGAGAGAGATAATGCCCAACTGTTCACTAAAACCTGTAGATTATATATATATAATATATATATATTTTTCCATAATATTTCCTGTCCTCAAGATTTTTAAGCTCAAATTTAGTGGGTTCTAATTGTCATCATTTACCTCCTGATTTCAATGACGTAACTGGATTTCTTGCTATTGAACAAGTTTCTGCCTGTAGGGGGTTGCCATAGGGTTGAAATTTCCATGTATGATATTGCCTTTATTGTGGGAAAAGCTCACATTGACCTTCAGTAAAAATATGGTTTTGCTTGTGCTCTTCTCAAAGATTTACTTCAGTATATTTTGTTTAAAAAAAGGAAAAAAAAAAAAGAAAAGAAAAGAATGGGAAGCCTTTATGAGTCTATGCTGAATTAATAGGGAGTTATATTAGTAACTAGACATGAAACAAATACTGAACATCACAGCAAACACATGCTCTAAAATGTAATTTAGACAGAGCTTAAAATTATACCATGGAGAGCCAACGGTAGGATACTCTCATACTATACCATGAGTTAAAAACATTGGCGTCAATCATTCCTCTGTATGGGAGCGATTCTTTTGTATTCTTCACTTTCTTTGTTGATTTCGCACCCGACATCACCATTCCCAATGTGGCTAAAAGATCCGAGTTAGCTTATAACCCGCGCATTTTTTATCTTATTAAAATTTCGAATATTCACTGTCTCGTTCTAATCCAATAATCGATGGCTGCAAGCCTGCAATTGAAGAAATCTTTCGATGGTGTGAATGCCAAGTTTTTTAAGTGATAAAAAGAGGTGCGTATAATCGGCGGCGTGCTCACTTTTGTGTTTTTAACCATGTTTTTTTTGTAGTTCTGTAACGTGTTTGATAAAATGCTTGCCTTATAATAAGGCTTTTGAGGTTGATGATTATTGTTTTTTTTTTTTTTTCCGTTGCTGAGTAAATTGTTACGTAGTAGTATATTTTATGCCCAAAACAGAATTCTACAAAAATGCCTCTCAAGCTTTGCATCAATGATATGGTTTAAATTAGATTGATCTGTATGACTAACTTTTGAGATTTTGCATGTTTTGTATTGGGTTTTGAGTTATAGATTACTTGTTCGTTAGTTACACGAAAAGAGTACCTGATTTTTGGCTGACCTCTAGGTGGTTTGAGAGAGATAATGCCCAACTGTTCACTAAAACCTGTAGATTATATATATATATATATAATATATATATATTTTTTCCTAATATTTCCTGTCCTCAAGATTTTTAAGCTCAAATTTAGTGGGTTCTAATTGTCATCATTTACCTCCTGATTTCAATGACGTAACTGGATTTCTTGCTATTGAACAAGTTTCTGCCTGTACTGGTTTGCCATAGGGTTGAAATTTCCATGTATGATATTGCCTTTATTGTGGGAAAAGCTCACATTGACCTTCAGTAAAAATATGGTTTTGCTTGTGCTCTTCTCAAAGATTTACTTCAGTATATTTTGTTTAAAAAAAGGAAAAAAAAAAAAGAAAAGAAAAGAATGGGAAGCCTTTATGAGTCTATGCTGAATTAATAGGGAGTTATATTAGTAACTAGACATGAAACAAATACTGAACATCACAGCAAACACAGGCTCTAAAATGTAATTTAGACAGAGCTTAAAATTATACCATGGAGAGCCAACGGTAGGATACTCTCATACTATACCATGAGTTAAAAACATTGGCGTCAATCATTCCTCTGTATGGGAGCGATTCTTTTGTATTCTTCACTTTCTTTGTTGATTTCGCACCCGACATCACCATTCCCAATGTGGCTAAAAGATCCGAGTTAGCTTATAACCCGCGCATTTTTTATCTTATTAAAATTTCGAATATTCACTGTCTCGTTCTAATCCAATAATCGATGGTGCAAGCCTGCAATTGAAGAAATCTTTCGATGGTGTGAATGCCAAGTTTTTAAGTGATAAAAGAGGTGCGTATAATCGGCGCGTGCTCACTTTTGTGTTTTTAACCATGTTTTTTTTGTAGTTCTGTAACGTGTTTGATAAAATGCTTGCCTTATAATAAGGCTTTTGAGGTTGATGATTATTGTTTTTTTTTTTTTTTTCCGTTGCTGAGTAAATTGTTACGTAGTAGTATATTTTATGCCCAAAACAGAATTCTACAAAAATGCCTCTCAAGCTTTGCATCAATGATATGGTTTAAATTAGATTGATCTGTATGACTAACTTTTGAGATTTTGCATGTTTTGTATTGGGTTTTGAGTTATAGATTACTTGTTCGTTAGTTACACGAAAAGAGTACCTGATTTTTGGCTGACCTCTAGGTGGCTTGAGAGAGATAATGCCCAATTGTTCACTAAAACCTGTAGATTATATATATATATATAATATATATATATTTTTCCCTAATATTTCCTGTCCTCAAGATTTTTAAGCTCAAATTTAGTGGGTTCTAATTGTCATCATTTACCTCCTGATTTCAATGACGTAACTGGATTTCTTGCTATTGAACAAGTTTCTGCCTGTACTGGTTTGCCATAGGGTTGAAATTTCCATGTATGATATTGCCTTTATTGTGGGAAAAGCTCACATTGACCTTCAGTAAAAATATGGTTTTGCTTGTGCTCTTCTCAAAGATTTACTTCAGTATATTTTGTTTAAAAAAAGGAAAAAAAAAAAAAAAGAAAAGAAAAGAATGGGAAGCCCTAAGATCTTTTGAACATTTATTGAACATTTATTTCGCATTTGATTCCCTAAGATCTTTTGTTTCTCTGGCCAGTATGCATAACTTTGGTTGAAGAGAAAATTTAAGTTATAGTTGGACTTAATGAAGTTGGGAAGTTATGTGACCTTTTGAAGCAACTGCGCAATTGGGTCAAAGTCTAGCCGTCCGTTAAACTTCTTGGCTTCCTATCCTATTTTAGGTATTTGTCTCCTATGTTCAGTGCTGTTGCCTGAAGTGCTTCTGTTCTTGAATATATGCAGTGTTAGGTGGTTTTCTGGTTTCACATAATGGATACTATAAATCATAATTGATCTTGTCATGTGAAAGCTGCTCGAATTTGTTCTAATTTTCACACAATCTGGATACTTTTCTAGATCTGCACTAGTAAGCTGAAAGTTTCCTGGCTCACTCTTTAGTATGGCGTTGCCAGTAAACAAGTTGTCAACAAGATTAGTTGATCAACCTGAATATCAAAGTACTGAAACCAAGTAAGTTTATTTGTCAATATTTTCTTCTATTCTTATTTTAGTCAAATGAAGCATTTCAATAATTGAAAAGACATAGCATGTTAGATGAAACATTAGTTTTATTTTAGTTGAATCGCTACTCATTCAAGAGCTGAGATAGGAAAGGCATCACATTGTCAGTAATCAGATTGGTTCTCAGCAAACTGGAACAATCATTGAGGAAGTTCATCTTTTGATATACGTCAGTTTACATGAGAAAGTGTTCAAGTCCTTGTGTGATTCCATTGCATTGCCTTGCCTTTCCTTGCTTTGTTTTTCTTATCAATTATGATCTATGCTGGTTTTATTTGGATCCTTTTTAACAAATTTGCAAGCATTAGGTGTAGGTGCCGGACCTGTGTGCTTCTATTTTATCTTTTTTATGCATTTAATTTCTAAGTAGGAATCAGGAGTGATTTGACATTTCTTCCTCCTACCAGATTATGAACTATTGAGTCGTAAAGTTTCCTATTTTTTTCTAGTTATCATTTCTTAAAGTTTCCTATTTTCATGCCTCTTCTCCCCAGGAAAATATATGTTGTTCTTGTTTCAACTGGAAGCTTTAATCCTCCTACATATATGCACATGCGATGTTTTGGTACGTGGTTTATCTCTGCTTCTTTTTCTAACTTATCCAGGGTAACTTGAATATTGCTTTATACTCCAAGAGTGTAGAAACTGGGTCTCATGGTTCTGCGATCTCAATCAGAATGTTGGTAGTCAATTAACTTGTGTTTTACAGGGATTGCATTATCAAATCAATGGTTATGTTAACCCTAAAGTTAGTTTCTTTATTAAGGTATTAATTTATTCTGTTTGTGTGCTCAGAGTTGGCAAGAGATGCATTAAATTCAGAAGGATTTTGTGTAATTGCGGGTTATATGTCTCCCGTGAATGATGCATACAAGAAAAAGGTATAGGAAAAAACTACATAGATCTTCATCATATCCTATCATTTTCTATGTTAGAAGCAAGATTGATGCTCATGTTATCATATTCGGGGCTGCTGTGAGATATGACTGCGCTGGGGATGATAATTGGCAGATTATCATACTGAAGGTTAATGTATTGAAGGACAAAGGAAATAACTGGAAAAAATCCTTATGCTTCAATTTGCTGCTAAGCTTAATGAAGAGTGTCTGCTTATGGAGAAGCCACTTTGGGTCCAAAAATTTTGAGTAGTATCTTGGTTGCATGTTGCATGTTTTGGTTCTGCACAATATGATCTTTGTCTTCATATTCGGGTTTCATGATTACTTTGAGAGAATTAGATATAGTGTGACTTCTCTTGCAATGATCTTTTGGAATCATCATTGTTCTTGCATTATGGTGTCCCATATCTCTGAACATCAGTTCACAATGTGTAATATTGCCCGTAAAATTTCCGAGTGTTTCATATTTTGTCTCGTGATTACTGTGGACGAATTAGTTATTGTCTAAAGATATCTCAAGAATTTTCTCGCGATGATATTTTTGAATTGACATCGAAGCTTTATATTGATTGTGCTTCTTTGCTATGTTTACAAGGATCTAATATCTGCTGAACATCGTATTGCAATGTGTAATATGGCCTGTGAAAGTTCTGAATTTGTCATGGTGGATCCTTGGGAGGTCTGTCTTTCTCTGTTGCGTTTACTTTCTTTTCTTTTATCAGTTTATAGTAAGCATACCTCAGATTTTGATCAATATTTACATTGATTTGCTTAATACCATGAGTTCTTATGATCTATTTCCCAGAATATTATTTTAATCTTACGGGGAACTTTTTGTCCAGTTTTAAATCTCTTTCAATGGACATTTCAGGCAAATCAAAGCACTTATCAGAGAACATTGACAGTTTTGTCAAGAATTAGGACTTCAGTATATGAAACTGGCCTGATACCCACTGGTGGGGCTTGCATCTTTACTTACTTTGGGACTGCTGTCTGATTTTGTTTCTTATTGCATATGGCTTCTCTTTTCAGAGGCTAGGGTCTGTGTTTTCTGTACATGCCAAAATAAAATGTTTATTGTGCCTTTTAACTTGGGAACTACATTCTTCTTTGCAATTTGACTTCTTTTTTTTAGGGAGCCTCAAGGTCATGCTTGTGTGTGGTTCTGACTTGCTAGAATCATTTGGCATCCCTGGGTTTTGGATTCGTGATCAGGTACTTCAGCTACAAACTATAAAGAAAATCATGTCATGGAATGTCATGCCATCTGTCAGATATATATACTACACATTCTCAGCTAACTAATAGTTAGCTGATAAATGTCATATTGCCATTGGTGTCTGAAAATATTTGTCTGAAGTATAAAGAGAGACCGAGAGAGCTTAAAAATAATCTTCAAATCGGTTAGGACACATGAAGCAGTAAGAACTCATGAAGCATGGTTAACATTGGGAATGGGAGGTGGGCACCCTACACATTGTGAATGTGTAATTTTCGTGTTTGACTGCGATAGGAAAAATCACTTTCCTTCATCTAGGTTAGGACAATATGCAGAGAGTTCGGACTGGTTTGCATTCGGAGAGACGGTCAAGATGTTGGGAAGATTATCAGCAATGACGACATTCTGAGCGATTACCATGTAAGCCCACTTGTCCTTCCTTACTCATACCCTAGCTTTCTTTGTGTCATTTATTAGTAATGATAGCATCAGTCCTTCAAGTGTGATTAAGTTGCTTACATTCTAATGTCCTCCCATCGTGTTCAGCTTCATTGTTGATCACTGTTCACTGATAATCTGGGTCTTATCTATTGCCTTTTTTGTGTAATTCCAGGAAAACATCAAAGTAGTTGATGAAATAGTCCCGAATGGGGTCAGCTCAACTCGATTGAGGTAAATTCTTTCTGGGAAGGAATGTGTGATTTAGGTGGGTTGAAACTTCAAATCAGAAAGAGATTAACTTGTGGCATTGGCCTTGTATTTCAGGGATTGCATTTCAAGAGGGTTGTCAGTGAAGTATTTAACTGCAGATGAAGTAATTGATTACATTAATCAGCATCATCTTTACAAGAAGCAGAATAACGATGCCTCCACAGGTGGTGTTTCGTGAACCCCTTTGTTGTCCAAAGTTTGTTGTACCTCTTTTTGTACTCCCTCCGGAACAAAACAAACAAACATGTGAACTGGGATATTATTGGAATTCCGTGTTTGTCCCTTCGTGCCTCCCTTTTAGGCGATGTGGATACTTATAAAATGTTAATATTTTGTTCGTTCCGAAATGATTATCAGATTTAAATTTCATTTTTATAATAAATTATGCTATAGAACACAATTCAAATCCAAAATATGACAATCATTCCATGTCAGAGGGACTATGTATATAATTTTTCGGGATTGCTCCTAATAAATGATGTTTTCCTCATTCTAACCATTTTATTCTCATCCCAAGTTAAATCGTTTAACTAATGGTAATGAACAGAGATGGATTGGAGGCGTGGGTATAATTTTGTGCGATTGAGTTCCCTGCAATTTGGTGCTAAGATTTTTTGGAGGGATTCCTCGGTCCCGCACCCAGATACTGATTCCCCTTATTTTGACTGCTTCATTTGGGCAAAATGGCATTCCTACAAACTGCTACTTACTGGGATTTTTTGTTCCTCACTTTTCTTTTTGAATGATGTAGTATTGTACAAAACTTTGCACTAAAATATCTGCTTTGTGTAATAGCAAGATTGGTCGGAACTGGCCAAAATAGATATTCTCTAAACCAAATTGTTCTGTGTTGTGGTACTGTTGGAGCCTCAACTTTCTCTCCCTCCTTTTGAGTTTCCTCCAGAGATATAGTATAACAATATTATTTATTTCGTCCTACAATAATAGAAGTCTTATCTTTACCATTTTATGCATTTATCTTTGATTTTATTTTTACAAAATTACTAGTACTACTGTGTAGGAGTACTAATTAATCTCGGAAATCTAGAATAACTGAAAACATCTTTTTACAGTTTTCCCTCGAGTCTCAAAGCCTTTGTCTTTTCTTCTTTGTTATCCATCTTCCTCCAATTCCCAAAAATCGAATCTTTCTTCCTTAGTACGTAATTTTCCTTCATTTTTCCCCACGGAAATTCCCAAATCCTGAAACTTCACGAATCTGGTCTGTTTCATCATTTCATGCCCATGTATCGGAATCCTTTGTGAACTCCCAGATTCAATTCTTCATCCTGTTTTTTTTTTCCCTGCTTTAAGGGTCAACAGTCAAGACCCAATTTTTCATTAGATTCCGCCATGGCCGCTGCTTTGAGGTCAAAATCATCGAGGGATGCAGCTTCCTTAGCATTCAGACACTGTATAATCACCCATATGCACGAGGGTTCTTTGGCTTCTTCCTCCCCGTGGAATTATCATCGGAGTAAATGGGATAATAATTTCTTTAGGAATTCTCGGTATAGTTCCAATTTCGTTCTCAACCCATTCAAACCCTTCTCTCTTGGTGGCGATTTGATGATGGACAAGGGCAATAATGAAAACCGCAAGAATTATTTGAATTCCAATAAGACTAATAAAAAGTTTCGAGTGGATACTTCCAATTCTTATGGTGATCCTCCTGAGGTTTGGCAACCTCCAGGTGGGGGCGGCGGAATTATGGTGCGTTCTGGAAAATTTGTTCAGGCTGGTGAAGGGGAAAGTCCAGGAGCTGCAACGTCTTTAGGAGGTGGGTCGGGTTCGGGTTCCAGAGATGGTTGCTGGGGTGGTTCCAATTTGGGCTCTAATTTTCCCACTCCTAAGGAGATATGTAAAGGGCTTGATAAGTTTGTGATTGGACAGGACCGAGCTAAAAAGGTTGTTTTTCTCTTGCTCTTTTATGCTTCTTTGTTTTGTATATTGACTTATGTCCAGAAATGTACCGTAGCTTGTTTAATTTATACTTACTCAATGAGAAAATTTTTATCATCATGTGGTTATAGGTACTATCCGTGGCAGTGTATAATCACTACAAGAGAATATATAACGACTCTTCTGAAAAGTGGTTAGTTCTCAACCTTACTTCACTGCTTATTTGGCTTCATGTTTAAATAGACTCTTGTTTTGGTTGTGTTGTCACTTGCTAGTATAATCTGCTTGTAGGAAGGGTCTGTTCTGTACTTCTGTCACTAGAATAGTGGGGTAGCATTTAACTGATGAGGAAAATGTAGATTCCTTATTTCTTTCTTGTCTTTATAATTAGTGACACATATTAGGTCTAACATTTTGTTCTCCTCCTTGGAAGCTAGGCCTGCAGGTGATTCAGGTAGTAAAGTTGAAGCTGCTGATTTTGAGTCAGTAGAAATTGAGAAGAGCAATATTTTGTTGATGGGCCCTACTGGTTCAGGTAATCTATCAACTTGAATGCTTATTGAATGACTTTCATTTCTGAACTAGGCTGAAAAATGTTGTGCATTGGGAAGCTTTCAGTCATTATCTCTTCCTTGGTTACTGTTATCTGAAATAAGTTAGAAGAAGCTTTTACTCATTCTTTATCAGTAATCCGGTTTCACTTCTGAGTACTTTGCTGTCATTTCAAGGACAGGGAAGACATTACTTGCCAAGACCTTGGCACGTTTGGTGAACGTTCCATTTGTTATTGCAGATGCCACCACACTTACTCAGGCAAGTCTTTAATGTATTAGTTTAAGGTGGCCAGCTTAGGTTTTTTTATTCGATTGCTGCTTTGCACATTGTGAATTTAAGTGATCTGTCGATCTTTTGTTGTCTAATTTTGTGCCCATTTGTCTGGAAATTTGGAGGAGCGCTGCTCTGTTACATGTATTAGTTGGGTTTCTGTCTGTTTGTTGATATTGGGGTATAATGTCCTGGCTTTATGCTAACATTTGATAAAGCATTTTGAGTTCATCTTCTCTTTCTAACAATATAATTTTCTGCAGGCAGGATATGTCGGAGAGGATGTAGAATCCATTTTATACAAGCTTCTTACGGTAAGCTTTTGGTAAAATTATGAAGTAGAGCCCTTGTTATGGATCTGTTGGCTTTGACCATTAGGTGTTAACTTCTTAAATATTCAAAGAACAAGTTCTCTGTCATTTGGTACCCTATGCCCATAGCTAGACCTATAGTGTGATATGCTGTGCTACTGAGTACCATAATGTGGAATGGGTATTTGCTGGTTTGACAAAACATCCTGTTACTAACAAGTAGCCGCCCCCTTTTACACTGGGCTTTTACGTTGTAAAATTAGTTGGATTTTGTGGAGCATCTGTCATAATGGCGCATGTTATGAATTGAAGTTTTTTTGTTTACTGATTATTGAAATCAGTTCTGCATCGCATCTTTATGCTAGAAATAGTTCAGTCTTATAACCTTGGGCATTGGCTCTATCCATGGTCATGCAGTTATCATCTTATATTTCATCTGTTGCTAATTTACCTTTTGCATTTAAATATCTTTCAGATGCAATTCCTTGTTGAAATGACTCTGGTGATTGATCTTCAGTTCTCTCATTTCAGGTTGCTGACTACAATGTGCAAGCTGCACAGCAAGGCATCGTATACATTGATGAAGTTGATAAGATCACTAAAAAGGTATTCCCGATATTTTAGTTGGAAAGTTTATAGTTTTTTTTCCCTGCCTTGCTATTGTCACAATCTTTGTTTAATCTTTTTTTTTTTTAATTTTTAACAGGCTGAGAGTCTTAATATTAGTAGAGATGTATCTGGTGAGGGAGTTCAGCAAGCTTTATTGAAAATGCTTGAAGGAACAGTAAGCTATCTGTTTAATACTACTTGTGGTTTTGGATAAACAATAGCCTAGTATTATGCAGTTTTGAACCTGAAGTTCCCTGTTTGATTGGCTAATTGACTTAGCCTCTGCTTCCTGTTGATGCAGATTGTCAATGTCCCAGAGAAGGGAGCTCGGAAGCACCCTAGAGGAGACAACATTCAGGTTTAACTTCACTCCTTTTATATACTTTATTTCTTTTTTCACTTTCTGTTGGTGGTTGTCTGTAGAAATCGCAAGTTAGAGAACAGAATTTTTCTTTGTAGCTCTGAATATCCTGGAGATCTGCATGCTTCCTTTTCTATCATTGACTGAGTGATTGATCATACAAATTTGTAGCTTGCTTGTTGCGATCAAAGTGGTGCTATTGGTATCCACAATATAACCTCAAAGTTCACTTTTTTTCATTAGCCTTTGTTTGGGCAGCTATTTGTTGATTTTGAAGAAGGATTTATATTTCTGCGAGTGATTTCTTTTCGAGAAGTGTGTGATTTTCCTTTTTGAGAGATTTGAAGTTGTAGAGAATGAGTGAAAATTTTGAATTATGAAGTTTTTTGCAAAAATTATCTTAAAAATTGATGACCGGAACAGTTTTAATCTGGACTATATCTTGTTGCTGATCACGCATTTTGTCCATTGTGCATGTCATAACATTCTGCAGATCGACACAAAAGATATTCTCTTCATATGTGGTGGAGCTTTTGTTGATTTGGAGAAAACTATTTCAGAAAGGTATCCTCACTCCATATACACACATGCTCTGGGGTGCATGCACAGAGATGTTTTCTAGTTTGGTTGCACCATTATTTCTCCTGTAACTTCTATGTGATGTTTTCAGGCGTCAAGATTCTTCTATTGGGTTTGGGGCACCAGTTCGAACCAACATGAGAACAGGTGGTGTAACAACTGCTGCCGTGACGTCATCACTTTTAGAGACTGTAAGCTTTGTTTATAAATGTTGAGTTCCAGGTTGATTTTGCTATGTGCAAGTATCTTTTGGGATTTCAACTGCTAATGACGATTTTCTTTTCCAGGCGGAAAGTAGTGATCTCATTGCATACGGTTTGATACCTGAGTTCGTTGGACGATTCCCCATCCTTGTTAGCTTGTCTGCCCTTACTGAGAATCAACTGGTGCAGGTAGTGACATTCAACCAACTGAACCAAAGATGATTCGAATACTTACAATCCTTTCATGCACCTTGTGAATTTTCACGAAAACTGTCAAACAATTATTGTGTTTTCCCTGCCACAGCTTTATCATTTTAATTTTATCTTTGAAAATGGAAATACTGGAAACTGGATTTTTAGTTGTAACTTGGGTTTGTGTTCTTTTGTGGCTGTTGCTTTTGTAGGTTCTCTCGGAGCCAAGAAATGCATTGGGAAAGCAGTACAAAAAGATGTTCCAAATGAATGGGGTATACTTCTCTGCCTAGCTGACACTGATGTTTTCTATAAAGGGTTCTTTTACTTGTTTATTATAAAGCTTGCTTACTGGCTCTACCATATTTGGGGTTTCCCCGACATTTGGTTTCACATTTGTTGTGAACTAGCATTGTCTAATTAATGTTATCCATTTTTCAGGTTAAGCTGCATTTTACTGAAAATGCTCTAAGATTGATTGCCAGGAAGGCAATAACAAAGAATACGGGAGCTCGTGGTTTACGTTCCTTATTGGAGAGTATTTTAATGGATGCAATGTATGAGGTAAGAAGATACCTGCGCTTAGTTCTTTCTGATATTTCTTTGAATTAAGAAATGAACTAGCTGTTCATAAATAATTGCTCTTAGTTCAGACGGAATGAAATTTGTTCTCTATCGGTACACATTTCATTTAAGCTGGTTGACACGTATTCTATGTTTGCGGCTCTGTTAAGAAGATATCAGGATGGGGTTAATCCTCCCCATTTGTAATATCTTGTATATTGAAGAGTGTGCACAGATGTAGCTAGGGGTATTTCGTTTTCATACTGGGTCGAATAAAATACAAGTATCATGGTATTTCTCAGCATTGGTTCGCATCTCTTCTTTACCCTTCAGTTAAAATGGGATAAAAATTGAGCTGTTTTCCCCCTACATCTTTGCAGATTCCAGATGTTAGAACAGGTGACGACATTATAGATGCTGTGGTTGTCGATGAGGAGTCAGTTGGTTTGGAGGGGAGGGGATCTGGGGCTAAAATTCTGTATGGTAAGGGTGCATTGGACCGTTATCTCCTCCAACATAAATTGAAAGACTCAGAGGTACGTCACATCCCAGTGTGTGGGGGTAATTTTGTGACTTGGGCAGTGATCGCTCATTAACAACACTTGTCTGACGAAGTCTTATGCATGTTTACAGACAACAGCTGAAGGATCTGATGGAGAACCTGAGGTGGAACAGGAGCTTCCTTCTATAGTGGCTTTGTGAATTACATTTGTAAGTCTAATTGAGGTGACGTCCATGTACAGTATAATAAGAATATTTTTTAATAATGTAAGCTGTAATTCTTGTGCTGCCATTGTTGTATTTAGTGTTAGATCAACACAATAGCATCATAATAGCAAAAGTTATGACTCAGTTTTAACGTCTGAAGTCGGATGTTTGGTACTATCATCTGGCTTTGGGTTTCTGTTCATGAAGGATCGAGGAATAAAAAAGTTATGTTTTATTGATGAGTCCACATCTGATTCTGTACTTTTGGTAAATGATGGAAAATTTGATTTGGCCATTCTGAATGTCTGGTTACATTCCTCAAGCTTTGTTGCAATGTTTTACTCCTGTCCTGAAAAATAGTCCTTACAAATATCAAAACTCAATGTGGACTATGTGGGGAGAGAGGGAGTAATGATTGCCGATCTACAAGCAAGTGATGTATCTGGTTTGCAAATTCTGATGCTTTTTTGGGGGGGTTGGTAGAAGTGTCCAGAACTTCTGGATGGGCAAAGGATTGGTAGTGGATTTTATATACCCTTTGTATCATCAATCATGCACTATTATATTACTAGCAACTTGTGCTGGTTTCCTGATGCGTCTATGCGCCCCTGTTCATTAAGGTCGTGTCGCTTCTCATGAAACACTGGTCCACATGGTTCTGGTTTTGGTTGTACTTGAAAATTGTAAAAGTGGCCGTGCTTAAATCCTGGTGGGAAAACTAGGGTGGTGAATTGTAGAAGTTGCCATGCAAATAACAGGAGTAAGTCATAAAATTAACTTGTGTGTGAAGATGTTGTAAGTTTAAAGACTGGCATTTCATTGGTTTGGCTCGGATAAGGTGGTAAATGTTTAGGTGCAACTTCATTTCTACACTTGAACGTCTGCGGTACAATAGTCCTGGTTTTTTCATTGTCTCATTCATTTTGCAGTGGACAGTTATTTAAAACTCAATGTCATTCTTGAATTTGAGACTTCTCAATGTATGTATCTGTTTTAAGCCTGGAAACTGCCAAACAACTTCGACTCCCAAGAGTCGTCCTTGAATTTGACTCCGAGTTGGCAGTGAAAACTATGCAAAAGCCTAAGAGGAGTAACAATACGGGATCCCGACTTGAGATCCATTCAGGACCTTCTGCAAGAAAATTGAGATGTAGGATTTCGCGTACCTCTAGAGATTAGATAATAATCTAAAATTTACATGCTGATACACTAATTAAGGCATTGGTAAAAAATGGGGACTTATAATCTTTTATATTGCCCTAACCATGTAGGTGTTTGTATGACTTTTGATCAAAGCAGCTAGTCTTCTAATGGAAATGTTTTTTTAGACCAAAAAAATAAAAGTAGCACTCCGAATTATGCAAAATACACGCATCAGTTCGTGTTTCATAGTTTATACTCTCTCTCTCTGTGGGTTGACTTGTGAGAATTAAATTCGAGAAAGCCATGGTGGAATAAGTGGCAGAATTGTGTCAGTCGTGTTCGTGCAGACAAAAATGAAAGAAAAGGAGGGGTATTTTTGAAATATCTTCACGCATCAGGCTTCCAGTGAGATTGGATGATTGGATCATTGGACCAATGGCATCCTGGATTCTGAAATTTTGACATTTTGTTTACTTTAGAAGGTGGCAGTGTTATTTTTCCATTCAAGAAATGCCACCAAACTATCCTGAACTGACATGACACATCTTAAATGATTGGGATGAAATTGAAGAAGATTCTTATACCGCTATAGTATTATTAGTATTGCCTCTATTCCAAAATAAGTGTCGTTTTAGTAAAATGGAGAAATTACAAAATAAGTGTCGTTCTCACATTTCAATGCACTTTTTGTCAAAAATTTCCAAAATTATTCTCAAAAGAGTTGATGCTATTGGTGGACAATTTTATAATGAGGTTGGTTGAGAATATTCAAGTAATTTTATTATCTTATTTAAGAGTTTCTTAAATTATGTGCAAAGTGTAAGACAACACTTATTTTGGAATGGAGGGAGTATTTTTTATTGAACATGTCAAAGATTTCAAACCCACTAAAATTTCAATTAAGACCTATCTAATTATTTTTTTCGTCTCAAAATAAATCGTCTAATTTATATTATTAAAAGATAATATGCTAAGTGGAATAATCATTTTAAAACAAAAAATAAATCATTGATTATAATGGTATTCTTGCACGATGTTGTATGAAGACTGTCATAATGTCATATATACGTACTCGTACGTAGTTATCAACATCAATGGGTAATGATTCAAGATAGGGAGAGGAAAGTAGTAGTTGATCAACTTTGCTCAGGACTTTGAGTGAACTTGACTCTTCAAATTACTAATGTTATGAATGCCATGTACGAATAATCATGAGATTGTTGTAATCTCTATCTCATTTCCCCTCTTTCTTTTTTGTGTGTCTGTAAAGCGGATTAAGGGAAAAAGTTTTTTTTTTTTTTTTTTAATTCTTGAAGAAAAAAAAAAGACTACGATTTGGGTTATTAACTGCACTGTACAGTTAAGAAGGGCAAAAGGAGAAAACATAAAAACCATTGTTTGTTGGTTTATCATCCTTAACTTTTATTTGTTCACCAACTAATCGCTACAAAATCACACTTTAAAAAAAGGAAAAAGAATTCAGAGAATATCCCAACACCATTGGATGAAAATCTAACTTCAATCATTTTCAAAATCCAACGGCGATCCTTATTCCTCTCTCTTCTCTCAAAAGGGCTTTGAGAAGAAGCTCCATAGAGAGAAAGAAAGGAACCTGTTTTCCAGGGAGGAAAAACTTAAGAAAAAGTTCTGATTAGGTTTTCCCTTATTCGTCGATCCAAAACCTGTAGAATCCTGTCCCTCTTCAAATTTTTTTTTTCTTTTTCCTCTTCTGGTTTTGGGTTTTTGATTGCCCATTTTCTTTCAGAACTCTCTTGGGTTTTTGATTTTTTCCTCCCTGGAGAAGACACGAAAGAAAAGGTGAATGAAAACATCTCATAGAGAAGAAAAGGAAAAATGGGGTTTCTTAATTAGCGTAAAGATTGGATTTTTCGGGGCGAAGATTCAATTTTCGGAGGTGGGTTATTGAGGGGAAATGGAGATCGATAACATAGAGTGTGTGTCTTCCTCGGACGGGGTTGAAGATGAAGAGATCCAAACCTCTGTGGCCTCGCATAATCCCGGCGGGATGCATCATCATCCTCATGTAACTCACCTTCATCCGTACGCTTCTTCAAAGCCTATTATCAACAACAGCATACCCCAGACGGGAATTGTGCCCACAAGTGTTCATGAATTGCTGGAATGTCCTGTTTGCACCAATTCTATGTACCCGCCAATTCATCAGGTTTGGTTTTCTTGGTCCTCTTCCTATATATGATTACTTTTTCCTAGGCTCCTTTTTTTCTTGCGGGGTTGATTTGGATGGTGATTTGGGAAAGCAAGTTAGGGTTGCAAAATATGATTGTAATTCAATTTTTTTTTCTTTATTTGTGTTTCCTTTCTTGTATGTTTCAATTTTCGGACTGATTAGGTTTAGTCTTGGAAAAAGGATTCTTAGGGTCATCTTTCCAGTCAGCGTAATGTAATTGCAGAAGCCCACTTGAGAAAATGTTAGTATATGAGATTGATTTTAGAATAAGTACCATTGGAAAAATTTGTCCTTAGCAGGGTTTGGTTCTGCAATTAACGTCAAGGAGACTTCCTCCTACCTAATTAGTATAATTCTAGTTGTATGTTGGGGGCAGCAGTACATTTCCTGTTGGCTGTAAAATTCACTTGGTGTTTCAGGAGAGAATTTGATAATAGATAGCCAACTTCTTCATTTTCTACCTGTGTTGACCATTGAGAGGGACTTGTTCTACTGATTTTCTTAAGTCCGCCTAAATTATTTTCCGGGTTGTCGAAGTGGCTTAAAGTATCATTAATATAGCCTTCTCAAATTTCATATTAGGGAAAGATAAACTTTTGACAAAAGTCTAAGAAGCCTTTTGTTTTTCTGAGATTTATTTTATATTTTTGAGGGGCATTACTAAGCAGTCAGTTGATGTGCATTTCTGAGAATTTATTTTCCACTTGATGCTCTTTTTTCTTCGGGGGAACAAGTTCAGAGTTGGTAGTATTTCACTTTCTTCGGGTAAGGGACTAAATGTCTGTATGATGAATTAGGAGGGTAGTTTAAATGGTACTATTTGCTATTAAAGATATCTTTTCTTATTTGTGTAAATGACAACGCGCTTGACCTTTGCATATCTTTGAATATACCTGTATTTGAAGTTTACCTGTGAAAATGGATTTTTGTATGAACTTTTCATGTACTAGTTTTTAGTATTTCACTTTCCTGAAAATGTGTGGTTGATATGTTTAGATTTAGATGTGGGAGTGTTTTCGCAGCTGATAACTACTTTAAATGGTCTCTTGGATAGAGGTATTTGTTCATCTACCACTTGGTTACAAATGAGAATAGAGGCTTTTGTTATCTCAGCTATTGTTGCAACAAGGAGGTTGATTTGTTTGTCTCGTTGGCCTGCATAGGATAATAACACGTCCTTTTACTAAAAAAACAACTATACCTTGCTGTTGTGGCCTTTTTGTTTCTCTGATATCATTTCTATGGTAGTGTCTATTGGACCCATTTTGCTTTTTCCAGCCTTATGATAGTTGCTTGCCAAAACACCTACTTTAAACTTGACAAGATATTACTGCCAGGCTAGATGAAGAGAAAATAAGATATAGTTTCACTTTTTATCAATAGCAGGAATGTGTATATTATACTCTGCTAAGATTGACTCTTTCCATTGCTGCAGTGTCACAATGGACATACACTGTGTTCCACCTGTAAAAGTAGGGTTCATAACAGGTGCCCTACATGCAGACAGGAACTGGGCGACATTAGATGCTTAGCACTAGAAAAGGTAGCCGAATCTCTTGAGCTTCCTTGCAAGTACTACAACTTGGGGTGTCCAGAAATATTTCCTTATTACAGCAAACTGAAACATGAGGCAGTTTGTAACTTCAGACCATACAATTGCCCGTACGCTGGATCTGAGTGTTCAGTTACTGGTGACATTCCTTATCTGGTTGCTCATTTGCGTGATGACCACAAAGTGGACATGCACACTGGCTGTACATTTAATCATCGTTATGTAAAATCCAATCCTCGTGAAGTGGAGAATGCCACATGGATGCTAACGGTAAGTTTTTTTTTTTTTATTTATTTACTTATCCTTTTGGAAAATACTGTTTGTTCTAGAGGATCTGCTGTCTGTTTGTCTTTTTTTAGATTTAGTTCTATTAGTTCAAGAGCTCCATGTGGCCATCAGGCTGTTTTATCCCATGTTCTTGTCATATTCCATCATTCTTTTAATGGTTGTTTAAAAGTAATGTTTATGGCCATGAGAAATAATCAAGTGATATGTATCTGAATAATCATAGATATGATTTGGTTTATGTCAACCAGAGTAATCCCCTTGTGAAAACCAGTAACAGTGGCCTTTTCATGGTTTGAATTTTCAGGTCTTTCATTGTTTTGGTCAGTATTTCTGTCTCCATTTTGAAGCCTTCCAGCTTGGCATGGCCCCTGTGTACATGGCTTTTCTGCGATTCATGGGTGATGAGAATGAAGCCCGCAATTACAGCTACAGCCTAGAAGTTGGTGCTAATGGCAGAAAGCTCATATGGGAAGGTACTCCAAGGAGCATCCGGGATGGCCACCGCAAGGTCAGAGATAGCCATGATGGACTTATAATTCAAAGGAACATGGCACTTTTCTTTTCTGGCGGGGACAGGAAGGAGCTCAAGCTTAGAGTCACAGGAAGGATATGGAAAGAGCAGCAAAACCCTGATGCTGGAGTGTGCATACCAAATCTCTGTAGCTGAAGTTTTTCCTTCTTTTCTCCCTTCCTGGAGTGGATTTCCTTTGCCTCTGTGTGTTTGTGTGAGAAGCACTCCATTCAGGAGTCTGTATTTAGGAAAACTTCTTCTAGGTTAATGGTGTCTTCTTACCAGTTCACAACTTCATATACATGTGATTTGACTTTGTACCAACTGTTAACTGTTAATAAGAGCCACTTTTGACCTTTTTCTCTCGCTTCTCATACAACGAAACAGATGCTGGGAACTGGTCCAAAACTGCATTGTTTGTTCTTGTACTTTGTATTTTAGCAAAGACATTTTAGTCACAAGTATATTCTCAGCTCTGTTAGGGTTTCGGAATCAAGATGCACACAAAACTAAAGAATTGTCAATGTAATTTTACCGGAACAAGACTCCAATCAAGTCATTGCTAATGATAATTCTTCCAACTCCATGTGCAACGGACCTAGATTCCAATCTAGCAGCATTTTACATAATTGAACTTACTCACGTCTGTCTCCTGATTTAGGGATTCCATCACCTGATTGAGCTAAGAAAATGTGAAATGTAATTAAACTAATCATAGGTTGCAAAGAGCCTTTGACTTGTAGAGATCTAAAATGCTTCTACATATTATCACATGTTCCTTTGTTTAGGAAGACTTCTGGAAGTAAACCATAGTAAAACCAAAAGGAACTGTGAATATGCGAGATTTTTGGAATGCTTCCAAGGGGATACACAAAAGTGCCACAGCTTGCAGCAGCCTTTACTCACGAAAATATGGCTTCAACTTTCAATAATAATAACTTCGTTACATCTCTGTCGACTGGCAATTTATTGTGCAGTACATGAAGAAGAAATAAACGAGTAGTGCAAATGAACACTCTAATCAACAGCAGTGAGCCAATATGAACTTTAATGCAGATTTGCTGAGGAAAGACATTAACTAAGATGAAATTTCTAAGCCAATAGATGTCAGGTTTTAGACTGCTATTGCACCAAACTTCAGTCTAGAGTCAGCTCATCCCAATTAATGAAGGGTGACAAGTGAAGACCAACGACTGAGCCAATAAGAAACAACATGACGCAGGGTATGATCAACAATGTCCTCTTCAAGTTTATAAATCTGTACTCCTTCCTTAGCAACTAATTACATCGAACATAATTGAAGGAGAAAATATGCTCATCATTTTGAGTCTAAGGAACTTAAGGAGCCCAAAAACCGATACCACTTTTGAAATCAATATTTAATGGTTAACAATCAAGCTGCTGCCTGCTCTTCTGAACCATCGCTTTTAGCATCTGTCGCCCCCAAGTTTGTGCCTTCTTGCGATGATTGGGCTTCAGCATCATTCACCTGTCCAGCGCCCATGAGACCTGGGAAATTCTCACCAGCAGCTGCAGATTCCACGTTTGAATCTTTATTTCCGAACAATTTAGATGGTATTAAAGAAGAAACAGCCGCCCTTGCACTTGCTTTAGCTTTTTCGGCAGCTTCAGCTGCAGCAGCTGCTGCTTCTGCCTTCTCCCTTTCAACGTCCTCAATAAGCTTAGTCAACTCCTCTTCTCTACCCTCTTTTCGCAATGCTTCTCTCACAAACTCTTCCAACTCCGGAGTGAAATCACCAGGATCCTCTCTTAACATTCTTCCAATCGTCTCAATCACATCATTGTGTTTGCCAACCTCAAACAAAGCATTCATCATAAATTTATAGCTTTCGTCATCCATCCTCAGCTTGCTAACCATCATATCAAAAAATGATTTTGCATCATCAACCTTTCCAACTTTAACTAATCCTTCAACCAGCTTATTATAAATTGCCAAACTAGGCCGTAACTTTGACTCAATCATAGTCTTGTAGTACGCAGCTGCATCATCTGACCTGCTCATCTCAAAACAAGTATCCATCAATGTGACAAATGTGTACTCATCAGGGTTCACCCCTTTCTCCTTCATGCCATTGTACAACTCCTCAGCCTCAGTCAACATACCATTCTTACACAAGTGCTCAATCAAATTATTGTAAGATAAAGTATCAGGCCTGCATCTCTTCTCACCCATGCTATTGAAGACATCAATAGCATCTTTAAACCTCCCTTCGACGCAATACCCGTCCACCATTACATTATAGCTTCCCAAATTCACAGTCAACCTTTTCGGAGGATCATGTTCGTTCAACATCCTAGTAAACAACTTCAAAGCCTCGACAAACTTCCCATTCTTATTCAAAGCATCCAACACATAGTTAAACGCCATTGCAGTCATCTTAATTTCAGATTTCTCACCCACAGCATCTTCATAACACTCCATGGCCTCCTTATCCATCCCTCTTAAAAAGTAACCCTTCATTAAGCTCCCGTAAATCACCCCATCAGAAACGGATCCTCCCATCTTCTCCTTCAGTTCTTCATACAAATCAAAAACCCCATCCGGGTTGGCGTTCTTGGCATGGGCCGACATCAAATACCCATATACAGTCGGGTCAGGGTCCAATCCCTTCGATAGCATCTCGTCTTTTAATTCCATAGCCCTCTCAAGCTTCTGGTTGTCGACGAGGCCTTTCACTAAGATTCTGTAGGTGGTGGGAGAAGGGCTGAATGGGGCATCGTTGATGAGTTGCTTGTAGTACTCCATGGCGGTGTCGGCTCGCCGGCAATCCATGTAAGTAGAGAAAAGGAGGTTGTAGGTGATAATATTGGTCGGAATCCCAGCCTGAGTGATGAAGCGGTGAAGAGAAAGTAGGTCAGCATACTTAGCCTGCCGGTAAAGGGCAGCCATTACAGCATTGCAGGTGTACATAGTGGGACGGCAATTGGAATACACCGAGTGGCGCGTGTAGAGAGCCGCCTCTTCCAAATCATTCTCACGGATCAGCTTCAAGATCTTGTTATGAAGATTGAGCCGGTTCCCGGACAGAACGGACACGGGCTCCGGAAGTTTAGGGGCGTTGGGGTTTTGATTGGCTGATGCCGGGGAGGAAGGGCGAGGAGGTTGAGGCGGCGCTTGTTGGTGTGGGCGGAGAGCGGACAAAGGAGGCTCAATCCGATTACGGCGTCTTTGTTTCCGACGCTCGGCGGCGGCTTCTTCCGGAGTGGCGAATGACAGAGGACGGAGGGAGATTAACATGGACGGAGATTTCTGGTGGAAATGGCGGCTGTAGAGGCGGGAATTGGTGGTGATGGTCTTGAGGTGGAGAAGGAATGATGTCTTTGAGAAAGCCATCTCCGGCGATTAGGGTTTTGGAATTGGGGTTTTACTTAGCAGGAATGTTCAAGACATGGAATACGATAGCATTTTGGCAGACACTACTTCTATTTTCTTTTTTCCGATCAGTTTTACTCGATGGACTATTATTACATTTACATTATTTTGAGCTAATGGTTAAGAAATGATACTAGAAAGCCCATTGGATCTCTAGCGTGTCTGATTTTATCATTACTCTTTGAAAAAGTTAACACACTAGTTTGGGCCATTTCATTTGTTAGCTAATTAGCTGCTCCAAAAGTCCTTTTGGGCTCAAAAAAGGGTATTCTAGTCCACTGGAGAACTTTTCATTTCAACATGTTCAATAATGAGATATACGCGGATTAAAGGAAGATATTTTCTTTACATTCACTGATCAGTTTATCTCTCTTTCTATCACTAGAATTCTCTCAAGCTCTCAAACAAGAACTCTGCTTTTCAGCATCCTCTGCCCTCCATGGAGGCAGAGGTAGATGAACCTCTTCTAATGGACCATGATAAGGGGGATCCCCATACTAATATAGCTTGCCACAATGTAGATTTAGGATCCAAGGACCAGGAAGAAGCAAGCCCCAAAGCTCCTTCTTTCAAAGAAACTCTGTTGAATGGCGAAGAGCCTCCAAAACACAATAGGTTCCACCTTGAGAAAGTTACCACCAGGCCAGGAGACGTTTCCTACTATGTGGAAGACCGTGTGCCAAAGATATAATTCACTGATCGAGTCAAGCAAATGATGGAACGAGCCATGTCGTATTCCATTGTTGTACGCCCCTTGGGAAGGAATTTCACATTCGCAGCTATTGAAAAGAGATGTATGGCATTATGGAAACTGAAGGGAGACATTCGATTAGTTGATTCGATTGGTGGATATCATGTGATTAGGTTGTCTCATGAAGAAGACTATTACAATGCTCTGTTGAATGGCCCATTGACTATCGTGGGTCACTACATCACTATTCTTCCCTGGAAGATCGATTTCGACCTGAAAGCAGAGAATTTGAAGGCCGTGGCAGCGTTGTACAAATTCCGACCCTTCCAGTCACTACTTTCATAAAGACCTCCAAAGGGACATTGCACAACCTTTGGGAAACTTGAAAGCGGATTGGAACACCCTCTTGGCTGAGAGAGGAAGGTACGCCCAGATGGCGGTGGAGTTGGACTTGACGAAACCGTTGGTGGGGAAGGTCAAGCTCGACGCTAAAGTGCACATTGTGGAATATGAAGACTTAAGGAGGATCTGTTTTACCTGCGGGAAATACTTCCATACAGCCGACGAGTGCTCCATCTCTCCGGCCACCGTTACGGGATCCGATACAGGCAACATCAGCAACGGTCAAGTTCCATCGGTGGAAGCAACCAATGGGCAAAAAGGTGACTCAGTAGCCCCACCAGCTATTGATACTGACCCAAAGCCTACGGCCCAACCTCCGATGCACCATACGACAACTCCAAACATTAGCGAGTGGAGTTACGCGACCAAAAGGGGCAGAAGGCCAATTTTTGGGAGAAACCTAGGGAATAATACGTTTGGAACCATGAATCAGAAGGGACCCAAAGCTAACCAGTAACAGACAAATCCTTTTGCACCACTGGCAAATTTAACTCCAGAACCATCGGAAACGCAACCTCGACAAAACGGGAATCTGTTTAAACGGTACTCAGTTTAACCCCTCCACTAGTTTTTTTGCAAGTAGAACCCCAACGTCAAAAAGGACCCCAACTGGGAACAAACCCAAGGCCTAGGATCTAGTAAGCATTCTATCAAAAGAAAGGCAGAAATAGTAGGCCGTGAGAAAACCTGGGCAAAGAAGTCCGCCACCAAAGAATCAAGTGGACCAGTAATGAGCCCATCTGGTGACAACAACACCCAAACCCAACAAGGGCAGGCCCAATGCTCGACAGAAAACTCAACACAACTAACCCCAGTCGTCATCCATGGACACCTCCCCCCCCAAGAAATAAACCAGTGCACTGGTAAAGCTACGTTAAGTTCAGACCAAAGTAAAACCCCAGAACCCACCAATGAAGCACCCAACCACACCGCCGTGAATATCGCCCACCCCAACTCCCGCCAGAAAACACACACAGTAACAGATCAGTCAATCAAAATTCTGGATAAAACCATGGTCGATCCCAAAAGTGGGAAACCACTCGATTTGAGGCAATGGTTTCATCTAAAACCAAAACTCCAAGTCAGAGGTGGCACAAGCGATAAACCACCTGAACGATCGACCGATCCTATGGAAGAAGATCAGGAGGTAAATAAAGATTTGGTGGACTAACGTTTAGTGGACGATAACGCCCACTAGTCTGACTCTAACAAGGAACGGTTGCCGGACGCCGGCAGGTGAGTTTCTCGTCTCCAGTGTTCAATTATCTATTATTTATCAATGGATAAACGTATGTTAGCTTGGAATTGCCAAGGAATGTCAAATAAGAAAACGATAGCTGCCTAAAAGACATGATTAAGATATATAAGACTCAAATTGTTGCGTTATTTGAACCTAGAACTAGCGTCCCAGACGCCGATGTCATTATTAAAGAAATTGGAATGCCAAGATCGCATAGATAGAAAGTGTGGGCTATTCGGGTGGGATTTGGCTGTTGTGGCAATCTACTGTGTCTATACATGTTCGTCAAAATGACTGGCAATTTTTGCATGTTGAAGTTATATTTCAGGATAACTTCTCGTGTCATTTAACCACAGTGTATGTCAGCCCTCAACCGTTGTCCAAGCGCACATTGTGGGATAATATGAGTCTCATTGCAGCTACATTTGATGCCCCCTTGATCATAATGGGAGATTTCAATGCATACACGGAAGTTGTACGGTTGTAAGAGATTCAGACACTGGATTGAAAGGCATGCCTTGAGTGATTTAGGCTTTTCTGGTTCCAGATTTACATGGAAGATGGGACTAGTACATGAAAGAATTGATCGAGCCTATATTAATAAGAAATGCGATGATTTCTTCATTGAGACGACTGTAAAGCATTTGCCAAGAACAGTGTCCGATCACTCGCCTTTGCTTATCAGATTTAAGGCAAAAAGTTCCAGGTGGCAAGGGAAGAAGTTCTTCAAATACTGGACAGCTTGGGAGGCACACAACCTGTGGAACGGTTGGTTACTAGAACACTGGGATAAGGACCTTTGTTTCCCAGAAGCGATTGAAAAGCTAACAACCCAGCTTGAAAGCTGGAAATTTGACGTGTTTGGGGATTTGAATAAAAAGAAAAACATGATTTTTGCTTGGCTTGAAGGTTTGCAGAGGGTTCTTGCCAGCTATCAGTCGAACTCCTTAAAGAGACTGGAGTAGGAGCTCAGAGAGGAGTACGAATCAATTGTAACTCAGGAGGACTTGTCGAGGGCGCAAAACTCAAAGGCAACATGGTTAATACAAGGAGACCAAAACACCAGAAGCTTCCACGCAGCCCACAAACAAGCAAGATCGTACGCCAAAATCAAATCCATCAGGTTAGGGAATGGCATTTGGTGTCCCGATCCGGTAGAACTATGTAAGGAAGCCACAAAGTACTTCAAAGAAGTGTATACGGATCCAGGGTCTAACCACCAAGTGTATGGCATTCGGGATCACTTTCCAGCTCTAACAGAACCTACGTTACAACTTCTTGCAAGGTAGATTGAAGACAAAGAGGTCAAGAGTGCAGTGTTTGAGATGAACAAATTCAAAGCTTGTGGGGTGGATGGGTATTCTGCTAGTTTCTTTCAGCATAATTGGGGGACAATTGGGACTTCTGTATGTAAGATGGTGAAGGAATCTTTCGAATCAGGGGTCGTTGATAGGAGAATCAACAAAGCAATTGTTGTTCTACTTCCAAAAATAAAGAATCCAGAGTCTTTCAAAAACTTGAGGCCGATAAGTTTGATTAATGTATCGGCCAAGATAATCTCCAAGGTACTAGCAAATAGGATGAGGAAGGTGATGGCCCAGCTGGTACAACCAACGCAATCGAGTTTTGTACCTGGCTGGAGCATTATTGAAAACATAGTAATCGCACAAGAGGCGATCTATTCCATGCGACTGTCGAAGGGGAAGAAGAGTTGGATGGCTCTGAAAGTAGACTTAGTTAAAGCCTACGACAAGATCAAGTGGAATTTTATATAAGACACATTGGAGGATGTGGGTTTTCCAGAAATCATCACTAGGGTAATCATGAGCTCCCTGAGCACGGGTACTACACAAATATTATGGGAGGGCTTTCCAGGCGAGGAATTTCAGCCGATGAGAGGGGTTCGACAAGGCGATCTCCTCTCTCCACACTTGTTTGTTCTCTGTATGGAGAGATTGTTGCAGGCCATAAATATCAAAGTCGTGAACGGAAGATGGAAGCCGATAGTCTTTGGAGTCAACAGAGTGCCTCTTTCCCACCTACTGTTCGCCGACGATTTAATATTGTTTGCTGAGGCTACTCAAAAGCTGGTTCAAGTAATCAAAAACACACCGGCGCTGTTTTGTAATGCATCTGGGCAAACGATAAGCCAAGAAAAATTAGTGTTGTACATCTCCCCAAATATAGACAAGACAGAGGATGATTTCTTAAGTTCCAGTCTGGGTGTGACGAGAGTTGATAATTTAGGGAAGTACCTCGGAGTCCCGATAATTTTACGGGCGTGTTAAAAAAGATCTTTATTCGGATTGGGTTTCGAAAGCCCAAAAAAGAGCTACAACATGGAACCCGATGAGGATATCTCTAGCAGGAAGGTTGACACTGTGACAATCAGTCGTCTCTACCATACCAACCTACCTTATGCAATCGACGATGCTGCCGAAAGGAATCTGTGACGAGTTCGATAAAATTAGAATAGGATTCTTATGGTGGAGTTAGCCGGGCGCAAGGAAGCCCAGCTTGGTGAACTGGGAAATTGTTTGCCAACTCAAGAATAAAGGGGGTTTGGGGTTGAGAAAGATGCGTGAGTTTAACATAGCTCTTATGTGCAAACTGGCATGGGGTCTAATTACGAATCACAATAGTTTATAGAGCAACATTATGAAGGCAAAATACAATGTTCCTCAAGGAGAGATATCACGAGATATCTCCAGGGTCAAAGCTTCTCACTTGTGGAAACAATTAGCTTCTGTTTGGGGTGAGGTCTTGAAGGCAGTTAAATGGACTATTGGTGATAAAGAAACAATCAAGTTTTAGTTGGATAGTTGGGTGGACTGTGAAGTAGGGCCATTGGGGTGAAACATTATAACCCCAATACCCCCGGACTGGCGGGATCAAAAGGTGGCAGAATTCACTACACCCTCGGGGTTGTGGGATTGGAGCC